GGCAGGCAGGCAGGACAGCACGCAGGCAAGCAACAGGCGAGCAGACGAGCAGAACAAGAAGACCTGCAAACAGACAAGCAAGCAAAAAAGCAGGCGCGCAGACAGGCACCAGGCAGGAGAAAGAAAAGCAGACAAGCAGTCACACAGGAAGGCAAGCTAATAGACATGGTGTCGGGTGGCGAGTTGTGATCTTGACGCACGGGGTGTCAGCGGCTATGATGTCTGACTCTCCGTGCTGCGATGTCTGACTCTTCGCGCGGTGATGTCTGACACTTTGCGCGGCGATGTCTGACATTTGGGTGTCTGACTTTGTGGTTGGATGTCTGAATTTCTGTTCGCTGTTTCAACATCACCCAACTCAAAGCAGCACCCTTTAGATAAAAGTTTTCCAAACAAAGAACTTTCCGAGCTTCAGCTCCGCAATCTCGAAGCGCCCACCAGTGGCGCATCGGACAGGCGCAAAACGCCGATGTGTCTGTGTGTGTGTGTCTGTTTTTGGCAAGGAAGTCCCCCCCCCAAAAAAAAAAGAAACCCAACCACAGGCACACACAGGAACGTCGCAAAACAAGGAAGGGACACACTGCCAATGGCCCGAGTATCCGCTGACCCCGGGGTCTACAACAGCAGCCTGAGTATCCGCAGACCCCGGGGTCTACCTCAGAGACCAAAATACAGGAAAGTCCCCCAATAAAAGAAACACTACCAAAGGCAGCCCGAGTATCCGCAGACCCCGAGGGCTACCTCACAAACCAACACACAAGACAGTCCCCCCGAACACACAAACAAAGCCAGCAGTGGCCCGAGTACCCGGGGTCTACCTCACACACCGACATGCTGACGGTCCCCCAAAAACACAAAAGAAACACTACCAAGGGCAGCTCGAGTATCCGCAGACCCCGGGATGTACCTCAAACACCAACATGCAGGAACGTCGAAAAAAAAACAAAAACAAACAGAAACACCAAAGGCAACCCGAGTATCCGCAGACCCCGCGGTCTACCTCACAGACCATACAGGAAAGTCCAAGAAAATAAAACAACAACTACGAAAGACAGCCCGAGTATCCACAGACCCAAAAATCTACCCCACAAACCAACATACAAGACAGTCCCCCCAAGAAACAAAGAAACACTGCCAACAGCAGCCCGAGTATCCACAGACCCCGGATCTACCTCACAGGCTGACATACAGGAAAGTACTACCAAAGGCAGCCCGAGTATCCGCAGACCCCGGATTCTGCCTCACAAACCAACATACAGGAAAGTCCCCCCCCCAAAAAAGAAGCACTACCAAAGGCAGCAGGCCCCGGAATCTACCTCACAAACCAGCATGCAGGGAAGTCCGCCCAAAAAAGAGAAGAAACACCCTCAAAGGCAGCCCGAGTCTCCGCAGACCCCAAAGCAGCCCGAGCATCCGCAGACCCCGGGGTCTACCTCAGAGACCAGCATACAGGCAAGTCCCCAAACAAAAAAAAGAACCACTACCAAAAGGCAGCCCAAATATCCGCAGACCCCGCAGTCTGCCTCAGAGGCCAACATACCGGAAAGTCAAAGGAACGCTGCCCAAGGAAACAAGAGCCTACCAAAGCCAGCCAAAGCATCCACAGACCTCGGGGTCTACCTCAAAGGCCAACATACAGGCACCTCTGCATCACCAGCTCGGGCTTGCGGTTTTGCTTGCCTGTGGGAAACCCTCGCAAAACATCGCGCATATGCAGGGTTTAGGCCATGTGGCATCATCAGGGTCTGGGGTTGGGCCTGGGTGATGCTTCAGCGGGGCTTGGTCTGCATCATCCAGACTTCCTTCCAAAAAGCCTCTCAACCCAAAAAGCACTGTTTTTTAGAAGGTATCGGAGGGATATAAGCGAGGCTCATTTTCGCGCATTTTGGCGCCAAGCGCTGCCGGGCATGCCGGCGATGCTGGGCCCTCGCTCTACAAAACGCTGTAAATACCGTCAAAAACTGCTGTGCTGAGCGGTGGGCTGTTGTTCTGTCCGTTTTGCTTTTGCTGTGGCTGGCTCGCGTGCTGCGCGGTCCTTGCTTTTTTCGCGTTGGTTTTGGGGCCTTTTGGCGCGCGCGCGCGACCCCTGCCACAAAACGCTGCTATTTACGGTGTTTTGTTGCTTTTGCGTTTCCGGGCTGGCTTGCGGGCTGTTCTTTTTGGGCTGCTGTTTCTGCGGCCTCTGGCGCGCGCGCGCGCGCGACCCCATGTGAGCCTTCTGGTTTGGGTCCCGGCTAGGGCCCAGAAAGCTGGCATCCCCGGCATCATCTGGGGTTGGGGTGGGCAACATGCATAACCTAACCAGCCATATCATAGCACAGGATACGTTTCTCATACAAAAAACATGACATGACATGGTATAACTTCAAAGAGGCGTAGCCGGCTAGAGGCCGCAGGCCCAGAAAATATTCCATTCAGCATGGTCACAACCGACGTTCTTGCCGACATAGTTTTGGCATGTTCATTGACGTATGTCTGTCGCGACTACTTTTCTTTCTGCAATCATTTCAGCACTTGTGGCTTGTGTTTGGTTGTAAAACAAGAAGATGACATACAGGTGTATATAATATATTATAATTGTTGCTTGCTTTGAGATCGCCAGCTTTGCTCACCTTGTTCCTTTTGGAAGATACCAAGCCGAAAACATCCAAACTGCTGGCTCCGCTCTTTACCATGCCCTTGCCAACTGCCCTTTTCTCCTGCTCAAAGTAAGCCAAACGTCGAACCGCTTTTGAAACAAAGCCAAACCAACAAACCAAGATGAATGTCAACCAGGGTTTCCAAAGAAACAGTTGGAGTGCTTTTCTAGCTCTAGCCGCGCTTTGCAGTTGCCAGCATAAGTTGACATGCGTAGCATTGCGAAACAAAACGTGATGCAACTCAGGGCTCGGGGGCAACTCCTCCCGAAAAGCTTCCAACTCGACCTCGCGGCGAAACCCACGACTTCATCTTTTGGAGGCTTCCGCAAGACTGCCCCCAACAACACCCCTTTATCTTTTCACGGAAGTTGTCGACATCGTGTGGAGAAGAAGTTGGTGTCTGATAAGCCGCCAAATTGCTGAGCACAAACACTCTTGCTTTTAAATCATGCCTGCCGCTTGAAAAAGGTGGCAGAGTCTCTCATCTAAACTGGAGACAGACAAGGGCTTCAACCAAATCAACACCCAACTTTGTATGGAGTTTGGGAGTAGGGCCACTAGATCACGTAGGCTTTTGGTCTTCATCACTCACGCCTTGCTGGGTCGCTTCGATCACTTGGGCCTCTCGTGGGGCGGGAGCAAATTGATTTTACCTGGCCAAGGGCCAGCCCCCAGGTGCGGGGCAGAACCACCACGATCGTGGAGGTGGCTATCAGGCACAGCGTCGGCGCTTCCTGCGCGGCGGACGCTGGAAAAACGGCCAGCCCCCAGGTTGCGCTTCTGAATAGACTCGGTGTAGCTGAACATGCTGCTAACACTTGAATTTCTGTGACTCTTTGGGCAAACCGATTGTGGTGACATTGTGCGTCAAAAGAGCGGCCGGTCTTTGTGGTGCTTTGTGTTGCGGCTCAAACCACGTCCAAAAAAGAGGGTTTCCAATTCCAGGACAACCTCCTACTTAAATAGGGCTATGGGAACAACCCTAACCATTTGCCACAGGGTTCATTTTTTTTGGTGTCCCAAAATTGCCAGGAATCGACCAGTCCAAATGCCTTTTTCCCCTTCGGTTTCCCTTGGACGCAAATCAGGTTGTTTTAGACACGGCTCGTTTGTCTGGAACAACGGGTGTGTGTACGTGCGTGTGTGTGGTTCATGTGTGGTTGTGTTCTGAGTTGCTCAAAGAAAATACCTGAGACCTGGCATGACCTGTTCCTGAATGTGGGACTTCGGTTTCATGCTCATTTCACATTTCCATTTAAACACCCTAAACAAAGAGTTCCAGTTTTGGACACCCCTTCATCTTACACAACCGGATCGAATTGCCGTTCAACTTTTCCTCTCGACTTCAGAAAGGCGCTCTGCTCATTAGATGGAGATGTTCTGTGCTTGGCTCCACCCCGGACTGCTCCTTTCACATGTTGCTGGGTTTGACGCCATGCTTAACAAGCCATCACCAATTCAAGCCCGTGATTGGTGCAAACTTGGCTCTACTTTGTGACATGATTCCTGCTATTGCGTCTTAAGGTCAACGCAGCATTTGCCAGTCCGCACGGCGTAATCCGGCAACCGTGAAACCCAAAATCTCCCATTCTTGACGGTGTGAGGTTGAGCTTGTAGAATTCCTACTATCCTTTTCGCGTTGGCGGCACAGCGGCAGCATCCGTTCAAGATTAGACACTGGTCAGGTGCAGGACTGGTCAAATTTGATAAGAACAAATGGCTGACACCAACGGGCAACCCGACAAATTGGTGCGCGCAGTGCGTTTGGGCCTTGTCATGCTGCGCTGCATGTCGAACGCTCTGTTTGAGCTGTGGTTCTGCCAGTATTCAAAATATGTCTGCCAAACTACACCAACCTGAAACAGCCGGTCATGTACAATCATGGATCTGAAACTCACTGCAGCGCTATCCAAGCCTGCCTCTTCACCAGCAGCAATGCAGTTGCCATGGCTCAGACAAGCCCAGCTGCCCACTCTACAACTCAGTCGAGCTAGTGTCCAACATAATATGCCGCCTGCGAAGATCTTTGCTAACTCCAGCTTTTGAGACATGCCGCCTAATTCCAAGAGGCATTCCTGGGGTGCTTCAAGCAACAAGCAAAGCAAGTCTTGCACCGCTACTTTGGCTATCAAGCGACTTGTCTTGACGCTTGCGCCAAGTCTACAGCCTCGCAATGTCTAGGCGGTCGCAAAGGGAAAACGCGGAAAAAAGACGAATTGGCCAGAGATGAAGCGAAAACAGCACGTCCAAGGCGAGTCTGTGGCTTCTAGACTTCACTCTGCCAATGGCGTGGCCCCAAACCTTCCATTTGGAAGTTGGTGAGTTCTGTGCAAATGGGAGTCACTATCTACGTCTCCGCGTCTAGGCCATTCGTTCATCACCTTGGTGCTGTTTGGCCTTCTCATAGGCGGCCACTTCGGGGAACGTGGCCCTTTGGAGCTTCTTCCTCCTCACGATGTCAACGAGCTGCTTCAACGTGTCTCTCTCATCGAGGTTAGCCCTGATGTTGGCGTTCATCAAGGCAAACCCAAGGCACCTTACATCGTGCGGAAAGTCTCCGAGTCGCTCCCGACGCTCCAACAGGTCTGCTTGCAGCTCATCCATGCGCAACCTCCATGTCTCAACGTCCGACACTAATGGTGAGATGCGGTAGTTTGCCGTGACGCAATTATCATTGCGCACCTGCCTCACTTCCTTGTGCAACTTGCCGCACAGCTTCTTGTATTCCTCGTTGTCGAAGGATGCCCTCAAGTCTGGCCGCCAAACGTCATAGTAGTTGCCGCGCCTCTTCCGCCACTCCTCTCCTGACACCTTGCTGAAAGCGGTGTGCAGGAGTTGGTTCACTCGCCGGCCCCAAATTGGGCAATCCTCCGGTATGTCATAGGTATTGAAGTTCAGGTAGTAGCAATGCCTGGCGGATTGGGCCGCTTGGTGCAGCCAAAAGTCATCCAACACATGCTGGTTTCCAAGCTGCAGCATGTTGTCCAGGAAGACCAAAGACGAGTTGTGCCCGCCCTGCGCTGCTTGTGGAATCACCGCAGCCCATACACCATCAGCTCCATGAAGCACCGCCTCCACGCTGGCAGCATCTTGCGTGTTGTTGTCGCCAGCGTGGGCATGGACCAAAATGCGGAACTGGTCCTCCACTCTGAAGTGCTGACGGAGCCAGTGTGCGATGACTCCATAGTCCAGGTAATTGGCGCAGCCGCGGCCCTCCTCTGACAAAATTGCCACGACACGCCTGCAAAACACAGGGTCGTTCTTCCAAGTCTGGAAGGCTTTGGCCGCCTGCTTCGCAGCCTCGGCGTCCATGGCAGCCTGCACACACGCATCGTCTATAGCAGTTCCTGGTTGCCGCGATGAATTCTTCAGCTTGAGGAACTCCATCAAGTCTACCAAGTTTAGGGAGATTTCTCCCTTCCCGGGAGTACGATTGAAATCATCATCCTTGCGCCACGGATTTTCTGGCAAGCCCTGCTCCAAGAAGATCTTATCCAGCTCTCTGACTGCGTCAAGGACAGAAGTCACAAAGTCTTCCTGGGCAAACCGCGCACTGGCCTTCAGTGTGAGGTCAAGAAAGGCGTTTGGAACATTGAAATCCTTGATCGCTTGAATACCGGCTTTGCGATCTTCTCGTCCCGGGCCGAACATCAGAATCAGTCCCTCCATGCTTTCGCCTCGAGCCCACAACTCCTCCAGAATCTGTGTCTCAGGGGTGTATGATGCCTTGTAGTACATGCCACTGATGGCAATGTCCCGCATTCCCATTTCCCTCACGATCTGCAGCGTGAGGTACTTCATGTAGCCCGTGTGACCAAAGGGAGTGTTGGTGGCGGGTTCACGAACAGTGTGGTCCATGATCACTGGCTTCAGGTGTTTCAACCGCTCATTGCCTGCCTCGGGCGTCATTTCCTGCAGACTCCAGGGCGGGGATCCTGCGGGCTCCTTGGCAGCGATTGCCTGAATGAACTTCTCCGTCTTCTCCATGATGTCGTGCCAGAGCTTGTTGTCTGGGGACAACAGAAACTTCTTGATATCATCCGGATACAACAGCCCAAACACGCTCTGCTGAAGAACTTCTGGGGCTGTTGCTTCGCGTGCTCTGCGGCACCAATCAGCCAGGCAGGCATCTGCGTCCAGCTCCCCCGGGTGGCAAAAGGCATGGAACAGTCTGTCGCAGGTCCGGCTGATCTGAAGGCCAACAGGGACGCTGTGATTGTTGCTCATCAGCGCTTCCTGCGGCAATTCCCGACCAACAGGAGAAATTTCCCAACCGCGGCGCAAACAAATATGACCACCGGCGTTTTTTAAGGCCGAAAAGCAGCTTTGTACGCCAGCGACGAAAAACAAGTGTTTTCTGGCCAACACCTAAAATCTTGACTTCTGGAAGGTCCAGGTATCACCACGCAAGATGGCACAAGCAATATGATTGTTGTTGCGCGATTACGCGCTGCAAATTTATGGGTGAGCCAGAATGCGCAGTCCAAACGAGCTGGCAATGGCCAGGCAACTGCTAGCAGCTTTCAGGTTCAGCAGAGAGGCGAGCAACGCAGACTCCGCACACGCGCACGCCAAATGTCGAGTGCGCAGGATGTGTTGCGCGGCGCAGACGCACGGGCAACTAGCATTTGGCGACGCAATTGAAACTCCAATTAGCCACGCTAGCTGCAAAACAGTATTACGCCAGCTTGCTCTAGTCACATTGCCAGCTCCAGAACGAGAACGAGAATTCCTTTCTAGGCTATGGGATGGCCCCCGCGCAATACATTTGCTGCCCAGCACACACTGACCCCAGCCTCCCAGCCCGTTCGACCGGCCTGTGACGGAGAGCGCCCGCTTGTTGGAGAAACTGGGGCCTGGAGCACCTGTCAGCTTGCGGCAGGGACGACGCAACGCAGGGAGCCCCGAGCTGAGCCATTCGCGCTCAGTAAATCCACTGCCTCCATGACAACCTGGCAAATTGGAGCGCCAAACTGGAGCCTCTTGCTCGACACCTTCCTCGCCTTGCCCGAGACTTGGCAATCCAGCGCAGCGCTCAAGGCTTCCTTGAGAACTGCAGCATCCTTCTGCTCCATGGCTTTCTTCAGCGCCTGTTTGGCTGCCTGCCGGGCAACTTGGCGCGGCCCCGCTCCGGCCCCCCCCCTGCTTGCACGCTGCCGCCTCCTCCGGCGCCTGACGGCCAAACTGCCAAACATTTTGGCAAAAAGCTCCCGGCCGCAAAATGGTATTGCCGCAGAGAAAGTTCCAGATTGGCCCGAGCTGGTACCAACACCAGGCCATCAACAACATGAAGAGAAACAAGCGAACCTGTTCAGCGTCACTCATACTTTCGCCTGGGTGGGGCAAGTACGGTGATTCCCATTGGAGCATGCCGTGTCTGAAGATCTTGTAAAGCTTCCCCTAGGTTTGAATGTGAAGTGCAGAGCGGGATCCTTGGGCCCTTGCCAGGAGCCCTTGCTGGGCAAACAACAGAAGCAAAGTGTGAAGTGAAGGACACAAACAGAACGCAAGCCAAGGATCACAACCAAACTCGGTAAAATTGGCAAGTCCTGCCACTGCAGCGTTTGTGTCACAAGAGTGTTCTGAGAGGGCACGCAGCTCCTCGTGTTCTTGGGAATCCGTTTGCCCCTGAGAATTGCCTAACGCAGCACTTGTTCGCAGTTGCCGTCCTTTGCACGTTTCATTTTCGGAAGTGTCACACACACAAAGCCAATCACACACACTCCACTTCACCCCGGTGGCAAAGTCCGGAGCGGACTCTGTGCCAAGGAAGCTGCACGGCAGCTCGGTGAACATTGATACGGAGCCCGAACATGCAGAAGAGGCATACGAAACTTGAAGCGTTGAGTTGGAAATAGCACCTGGTGCGCAGGAATTGCTGCATGACTCGCAATGAACACATATCCTTTACAGGCATATACGTGCATATGTATATATAAAAACACGTCGTGTGTTATGTAAGGGGCGGTTTTCAAGATCTGAAGTCCTGCGAAACTTATTTTTGTCCATCTTGGATATAACAGCGCTTCCTGCGCTTTAACACTTTTTTGGGCGGATGCAGTCGCAGTCAAATGTGCAGAAGCGTGCGCAGTGAAATGCTCCAACGTGGGCGAATGTGGGGTGCCTGAAAGGCGGGCGGAAATCACTCAATAGTCCTGTACACTCCGTGACATTCTCGTGGGGGCGTGGGTTCTGGGGGTGTACCATGTATATATACATATATGGATATGTATGTATATATATATATGTATATATATATATATTTATTATGTGTATATTATATTGATATGCCATGTTAAATCTGAAACGCATATCTCCTGGGGGGAGAGTCGTCTACAGCAACGGCCAACCACGAGCTGTTGTGTTGCCTATCTCATGTGATGTTGCAACTGGATTCATTGCAGAAGCAAGTACGACTTGGACCCTGTGATTGGACATCGCTCACGTGGAGATAATATTATACATGCGTTGCACGAAATCAGAACCAAGGATCAGGGATACTTGACGTATCTCGGCAGCTCGTGTCTGGATTGAGTAAGTTCCATGCCTTTTTCCCTGCTTGCTTCCTTCCTTCCTTCCTTCCTTCCTTCCTTGCTTGGAACCAAATCCCATCTCTCCCAGCGATCTCATTGTTATTGCCAATCTTCAAACTGCCGCCACACACTTTAGAAGTGGGGGCGCCGTGGACATGCTGGTCACCTGCAAATGTCAGGCCGCCAGAGAAAATGAGAACATCGACTAAGAAATCTGCGCAGCAGCACGCAAGGATTGCGACTAGAGCCCAAGAAAAGAGTAAAACGCTGAACAGTGATAAAGATCACACGCGGTCAACAGCACCAACAGAAAGCACACCATGCTCAAAGCATTGAAAGAGAGCAAGTGTAGCTCGTGGAACTGTCAACTACTGCGTTGCGCGCAACATCCCCAGCCCAAGTTCCGCCATCTTCCACCCTGCCTTTAGGGTCTTCGGGACCTTCGGCTCCTGAATCAATTGACGGCTTCGTGCGCAGACCCGCAGCTCGCGCAGCGCCAAGCCCGCGGCACCCGGGTACCCGCTACTCGCTGCGGCCTGCAGGCGAGAATAAACAGAGGTGTCGGCGACTCGAGGCGACTCCACGGCGGAGACTTGAACCCAATTGGCGGCATGCCTTAAGTGCAAACATATCTTCTACACAGATGTCAAAGCTAAGCCAAATTCACACCCACACAGGGAAACAGTCGTCTGCAACCTCCGAGCTGTCCTTCTTGCAACTATCTCATGCTCAGTTGGAACTGCGTATTACTGCGGAAACAAACATCATGTGCCCTCTGAATGGGAGTTGCCTACGTGGAGGTTACATTATGCCACAATCGAAGACACATCGATACTTGATTTATCCTGCCAGCTTGCGTGGATTGCGCCAGAGAAAACAAGAACGCGACGGCTGCTCGCCAGCTGATTTCCTCTGCAAAAGGGAAGAACATTGCGCAACAGCACTAGAGCATTGTGATCCAAGCTCGGGGATTGCAGGGCAAAAAGTAAGTAGCTGAGCGATGGTGAGATGGTGTAGATGAGATTGGGTTAGCCCGCCGGAAAGGCAGTACCAACAATTACAAGTCCTTGATTGCGTGGAATACCCAACCCCAACCGGGTGAAGGCAACCATTTCACTCGCGCAACTATGTGCCCACCAACTCAAAATGAGAAACGCTCGCCCGCGTAAAACAACTCCACCACCACCAAATGTGACGAGCCCCAAGTGAACTTGTGCTTCATTTGGGCAAAGCACATTCGAGGGCAATTCACTTCACCACTAACCAGGGGCGTAACTTCTTGTTTGCCCTCCCACAAACAGGTACGGAAGAGAAAAGGCTCCCTTTGAAAACGGACAGTGCGCCATATGAGGTCTGCGCACCTCACATGCGTAAGAGAGGTATAGTGACACAAGTCAGAATTCAGGAAGGAGTGCGACTTCCCAATATTTCTAAACAAAACCTGAAAGCTGCGCTGGATCCGTAGAACTATCTTGAGTTTCGAACCATTCAAAGCCATCCGTTCAGGGCAAGCATAAGGGACCCGGGCATGTGGATGGTAACCCTGGTTGGTAACCCGGGAAATTGACATTGTCGGACACAACAGCAAGTTCGAAAACCCGTCGAAACGTAATCACTTTCTTGGTGGCTGTTGCGCCCCGAGTTTAATTGTTCGGGGTCAACGGGGAAGCTCAACAAAGTGCGGTCAAGGAGCCGGGGCCGGCGTGGGCATCGCCTGGCAAATGTCCGGTTGAGCCACGTTAGGGGAAACCCCAACAATAAAAACATAAATGGATGCAGGTTCTGAGTCGGCCCTGTTTGAACCACAGGGAACCAAGGAAAACTATATAGTATATATGTCAAAGTTGCGCAAGGCCTGGGTGAAGTAGCACAACTCATCGGCCAAACATCAGGGTTTCCGATGGAAGGAGCCTTCACGCGGCTTAAGTGGGGGCGTAACTCAGTAAGACCCTGCTTGACCCGGCAAGTAAACATTGCAAACGTAACATGTGTATCATATGAGTTGACCTATCACGCTAACAAACGGTCGGGGTTTATACTAAAACCCGTTATCAGTTGACCCGGGGAAAATAAACTATGATGCAATGCACAGTCGGATATCTCCTGGATTGGCAGGAGACGTGATCCGGCGAAGCTGCTGGAGAATGTGATTCGCGCGCGAATCCCGAATCCCGAATCCCGAATCTGAGAATGGGGCCTTCCCAGTCCAAAATCCCGAATCCCGAATCCCGAATCCCGCATCTGAGGATGGGGCCTTCCCAGTCCCGAATCGCGAATCCCAAATCCCGAATCCGGAATCTGAGGGCGGAAGGCCCCATCCTCAGATTTGGGATTCGGGATTCCGGATTCGGAATTCGGGATGCGGGATTCGAATCCCGAATCCCGAATCCCGAAAATGTGATTCAAGTCCCGAATCCCGAATCCCGAATCTCGAGTACCGATCCCGAATCCCGAATCCCGAACACCAACCCTGCCCTAAACCAACCCTAAACCAGCCCCTAGACCAACCCTAAACCATCCCTAAACCGGCCCCTAACCAGCCCTAAACCAGCCCGAAACCGGTCCTAAACAAGCCCCAAACCAACCCTAAACGACCCAAACCCAACCCTAGCCCTTTATCAACCCAAATCTCGACTCTTGGATGCCGAATCCCAAATTCGAGGATGGGGCCTTCTCTGTCCCAACTCCCAAATCTCCGAGCCTTCCCAGTCCAATCCCGAATCAATCCCAAACCCCAAAATGCGATTCGAGTCCCAAATCGTAAAATTGTGATTCGAGTCCCGAGTCCCTAATCCCAAATCCCAAATCCCGAAAATGTGATTCGAGTCCCGAATCCCGAATCCCGAATCCAAAATCCCAAATCCCGAAAATGTGATTCGAGTCCCGAATCCCGAATCCCGAAAATGTGATTCAAATCCAAAATCCCGGATCTCGAAAATGTGATTCGAGTCCCGAATCCCGAATCCCGAATCCAAAATCCCGGATCCCGAAAATGTGATTCGAGTCCCGAATCCCGAATCCCGAAGTGTGATTAAATCCGAATCACCAAATTGGCAGCAACCTCCGGATCGCCACTCATTGGCAGGTGAGCTGTCCCCGTAATCACTGAAAATGGGAAAACGCCTCTGGCTTTGTGGCTGAGGTTGAGCGAGTCCCACTTGTCCCAAACCCCAAAATTCAACATAGGCCGCTGGAAGTTTGGACCAAATCTCGTAGGGACCCTACTTGAAGACGCCATCGGTTACAGTACTCCGGGCAAGTGGTTGGTAACCCTGGTTACGACCCCAATCAATCGCCCCTTCAGGCAGTGCCCCTGTGCGATGGCCTAACAGCTGTGTCCATTTGGATCGCATTGTCGAAATTGACACAGTAATTTCGAAAACCACCTGTCGAAATCACTCTCTTAGTGGCTGTTGCGCCCTGAATACAATTGCTCGTTTAGGGGGAAGCTCACATTTCCCGTCACAGTTGAAGCTTCAAGACCCAAGCCCAGAAGATTTAAACCACAGAGCAAAGTGCGGTCAAGCAGCCGGGGCCGCCGTGGGCAGCGCCTGGCAGATGTCTGGTTGAGCCACGTTCTCAAAGCCCGGGTAAGCGAAGGCGAGTAAGGGGCAACCCCAACCATAACACTTTTAATGGGTGCGGGTTCTGAGTCGGCCCTTTTCATTCCTGGCTTTCATTGTGAACTTTGATGTACTTGGTGGCATCCATGCAGATCACAAAAGAGCACAGAGAAACCGATGCCGGTGGTTTTCCGATTGCGCAAAATGTGCACCACAAGGAACCAAAGAAAACTATATAGCAGGTGTGTCGAAATTGTGGTCGGGGAGTCCGCCAGAATGGCCTTTGAAGAACACGGCCTCAACAAGGCCTGGGTGAAGTAGCGGTTTCCTATGCAAGGAGCCTTCGCGGGGCTTAAGTGGGGCGCACGCCAACAAAAGGGCGCGATCCAATTTGCCCAGAATCCACGTAACTCAGTAGGACCTTGCTTGACCCGGCAAGTAGACATTGCAAACAGAACATGTGTATCATATGAGTTGATCTATCACGCCAACAAATATACGATAACTTGACGATAACCCTTTATCAGTTGACCTGCGAAAATAAACTATGATGCGATGCACAGCGGGCTCTTGCTTTGTGGTGGAGGTTGCGCGAGTCCCACTTGTCCCAAACCCCAACAATTCAACATAGGCCACTGGAAGTTTGGGCCAAATCTTGTAAAGTGAAGAGGCAAAACAAAGCAATATTTTTCATCCTTGTTTGATTCAACGCGGGAATGGAAATCCAAAACCCAAGATAACAATGCCCACCATCTAAAAACACTAGTTGCAGGTGACACATCTGGCGGAAGCCTTTTGCGACAACAAGTCAAGCACCTTCAGTAATGTACATAAATAACCATATGGAGATCTCCAAACTATGGACCCTTTTTGGACTGACGGTGTTCAAGACAACCCAAGGAACAACCCTTTTTATGGCCCCCCATTTTGAGAAACCTCGATACTGATGATATACGGGAAACAACACTAGAATGCAAACAAGCACACGTGTAGATAACAAATGCTTGATAGATCTGCAAGTTGTGCAGCTCTTCGCTGCTCCCCGTGATTCCCTGATCCAGGCGCCTTGGGGGCCGCGGGCGCTAGAGCCTGGCAGGGAGAGAAGCTCTGGGATGCGCAACGCTTCCGGCTCTTTTGTGTTGGCTCATCTTTGGAGGTTGCAGACTAGAACAAGCAAACCAGACAAGCAAACAAGGAAACAAGGAAATTTTGAGGCGGTTGGAACCAACTGAAACGGAAGAAAAACCAGGGGCCCAAGCTTTGGGTTTGAACTACCTTAGTTTGTTACTAAGTGGGCGAACCCCCAATAAGGAGGGTTACAACCCCATAAGCAAATCATGAGGCTTCCCAGCAAAATACCAGAATACTTGCCCAAAACCACCTCGCAGCTAAACAAAATGCATGGGGGTTGCAAGGGGGCGCCACACCCTGCTCCAGTAGAGCAGACACAACCTTCCTTCCTAATTCCGTCCTTCCTCCCTAATTCCCTCCTTCCTTCCTACTTCCGTCCCTTGCTTCCTTCCTTTCTTCCTTGCTTCCTTCCTTTACTTCTTCGCAGTTGTGCGTTGTGCACAGCATCCGCAGCCTAAGTTTTTCCAGGTTTTGGGCCGAACCGCGACAATTGAAACAGCTGAATTGGTAAAGAACGACAAAGAAACTGGCTCGCCTTTCGCGTCTTGCTGATGCCCACACTCCCAAATCCCTCGCCGTGAGGAAAAGCAGCACGATGCATGCCACGTTGCCAACGAAAGAAATAATTAACGCCCGTTTGTGTTGGATATGATGTTGCTCCCTCGCACAGACAACAGCTGCCAGGCTCTGCTGAGAAGACTGTGTGTCTGAGGAAACCTCAGAAAGGCAATCAGAAACAAGGATCAGGGATACTTGACGTATCTCGGCAACTCGTTCCCAGCGATCCCATTGCGATTGCCCAATCTTCAAACTGCCGATTTATCCTGTCAGCTTGTTTGGATTGCGTAAGTTCCATGCCTCTTGCATTCTTCCCTCATTAGAATGAAACCCCATAGCGCCCCCTGCCAAGTTTGAGGCTGGCCCTGGCTGATCTTCAAAAGGGTCGAGATTTAATCTGTTTTTTTGTTTTATTTTGGGATTTTTTTGTTTTCCGTCCTGGCTATTAAAATGTTTACAGCATTTTCTCGCGAAATGTACGTATTTTACGCGTCCGTCAACATCATCAGCATCGTTTTCAACATCCCCCGCATGTCCAGCCAACATCCCCAGCATCACCAGCAAATTGGGCAGCCCCCCTAATTTCAACTAATCTAAAAAGTAGCGGTCGCATGATGATCGAAAAAGTGATGATTCAATTAGGGGCAAAAAGTCCAAAAAATAGCGGGGGGGATGGGGGGGGCGGCAGCCCCCACGATGATTGAAAAAGTGCTGGTTCAATTAGGGCCAAAAAATATTAAAAAAGCAGCGGGGGGGTCATCAGTTCCTCTGCGGCAAGGCCTCTAGCGGGGGGGTTGGGGGGGGCGGCAGCCCCCCCCCAATGATGATCGCAAAATTAGGGGCAAAGAATCTAAAAAGTAGCGGTCGCATGATGATCGAAAAAGTGATGAAACAACAAGGGGCAAAAAGTCCACAAAATAGCGGGCGGTTGGGGGGGGGGGCGGCAGCCCCCCCCATGATGATTGAAGAAGTGATGATTCAATTAGGGCCAACAAAAATATAAAAAAGCAGCGGGGGGGTCATCATTCCCTCTGCGGCAAGGCCTCATGGATTCAATCACGGGCAAACTAATCCCTGTAAAACACCTAAAACGTAGCGGGGGGGGGGGGGGGGGGGCGGCAATTCCCCTGAAAAAGTGATGATTCAATTAAAGGCGCGGGGGGGTTGGGGGGGGCGGCAGCCCCCCCATGATGATCGAAAAAGTGATGATTCAATCAGGGGCAAAAAGTCGGGGGGGATGATGATTGAAAAAAGTGATGATTCAATGGGCCAAAAAAATATTAAAAAAAGCAGCGGGGGGGGCATCAGTGCCTCTGCGCCAAGGCCTCATGGTAAAAGTGAGGATTCAAATACGGGCAAACTAATCCATGTAAAACGGCAGCCAAAGAATCTAAAAAGCAGCTGTCGCATGATGATCGAAAAAGTGATGATTCAATCAGGGGCAAAAAGTCGGGGGAAATGATGATTGAAAAAAGTGATGATTCAATGGGCCAAACAATATGAAAAAGCAGCGGGGGGGGGGGGGGGGGGCATCAGTGCCTCTGCGCCAAGGCCTCATGGTAAAAGTGAGGATTCAAATACGGGCAAACTAATCCCTGTAAAACTGCAGCCAGAGAATCTAAAAAGCAGCTGTCGCATGATGATCGAAAAAGTGATGATTCAATTAGGCGTATTTTAATCGAAAGGGTGGCGGGGGGCACTAGAGAGGAACTTGCGATGCTGATGATGCAGGAAGCCAAGGCCAAAAACCAACTGGGAAAGCAAAGGATGCGAAAAGCCAAAGCCAGAAAGCCGCCAAAAGCCACAAAGCCAGGAACCGTGAATGCAGAGGATGCGAAATGAAAAGCCACAAAAGCCACAAAAACCCACGTAAAAGCCACAAAAGCCAAAAAGCCGAAAAGCCACCCACGCTGAAAAACAAAAATAATTCCTAAAAAAAACGAAAAATCATTAAAAAAATGGCCCTCCTCTTCAAACTGCCGTCGCACACTTCGCATACGTGGACAAGCCGGTCCCCCACAAATCTCAAAGCCGCCAGAGAAAACAAGAACACGACGGCTGCTCGCCAGCTGATTTCCTCTGCAAAAGGGAAGAACATTGCGCAACAGCACTAGAGCATTGTGATCCAAGCTCGGGGATTGCAGGGCAAAAAGTAAGTAGCTGAGCGATGGTGAGATGGTGTAGATGAGATTGGGTTAGCCCGCCGGAAAGGCAGTACCAACAATTACAAGTCCTTGATTGCGTGGAATACCCAACCCCAACCGGGTGAAGGCAACCATTTCACTCGCGCAACTATGTGCCCACCAACTCAAAATGAGAAACGCTCGCCCGCGTAAAACAACTCCACCACCACCAAGTGTGATCTCACGAGCCCCAAGTGAACTTGTGCTTCATTTGGGCAAAGCACATTCGAGGGCAATTCACTTCACCACTAACCTCCCACAAACAGGCACGCAAAGAGCAAAGGCTCCCTTTTAAAACGGACAGTGCGCCATATGAGGTCTGCGCACCTCACATGCGTAAGAGAGGTATAGTGACACAAGTCGCATCCAGAAAGGAGTGCGACTTCCCAATATTTCTAAACAAAACCTGAAAGCTGCGCTGGATCCGTAGAACTATCTTGAGTTTCGAACCAGCATGGGTTTGAGGAATGTTCAAAGCCATCCGTTCAGGGCAAGGATAAGGGAACTTACTTGAAGACGCCATCGTTTACAGTGCTCTGGGCATGTGGTTGGTAACCCTCGTTGCTGACCCGGGAAATTGACATTGTCGGACACAACAGCAAGTTCGAAAACTCGTCGAAACGTAATCACTTTCTTGGTGGCTGTTGCGCCCTGAGTTGAATTGTTCGGGGTCAAGGGGGAAGCTCAACAAAGTTCGTTCAAGGAGCCAGGGCCGGCGTGGGCAGCGCAGGCGTGTGTTGAAGCTGGGCCTAGCATGCACACATCCCCAAATCAGCCCATGCCACTTGTATTGACGTTGGACCACCCCCTGCTGGTGCCAGACCTTTTCTTCGCAGGAGAATGGCTCCCCAGAAAACCCACGCATGAGCGCGCCCAGAAACCATTGGCGGATTTGCATAGGCCTTGCCATGATCCCTCTACTCAAATGGTCAAGCGGTGTTTTGCGACCCTCCAAAGCCGTGTTTTGAGGGGTCCATTAATTCTCAGGAGTGCAGCTGCCGGATAGGCACAGCATTTAGCAACCAATCTCATGTACACAAAACCACAACACCTGTGCACAGTGACCAAGTCGGCTTTGCCAGGAAACGGCTAAGTGGCCTGGCCTCCTATATTCTGTGCTTCCTTAAGCTTCACCCATAAGTGGCCCACAAGGCGGTGCTTCAAACCACCAGAGGGAACTCGGCCCCGCCTTGCTTGGTGCTGGCTTCGGCCTTGCGGGAGCCTGGCCAGCCGGCAACCAAATCTCTCGCTCCCATGTGCGATACGTCGGCTGTGCCTGCCTGTACAGTTTAAACCAGAACAGGTTCGTCTTTAATTGGCGGGATGTCCGTTGGTTCCGCTTTTGAACTAGTTCAAGGTGGGTACTCGCGAAAATAAAACAATCAAACCACAACCTCCATGCAAAAAGAAACGCAGCGACATCATGCAACCTCTGCAGTAGCCACCCAACTGGATTTGTCCGCTGTCACGGCTCCTCGTCATTGAAGAGCGGATCCTGACAATGCACCATAGTTCAAAATTGGACATGGAGTCCGAAAAACCTGGTGCAAGGACGGAGCTCTGGTTTTTTGGGCGAAAAGCTCTAGGGAACGGAAATCAAACAGATACTTGGCCATACGCGTGGGGAGGGGTCTGCAAATGGAGCCGAAATGCGCGACAGGAGCCCGTTTAGAATCAAAAACAATGGCTTTGTCGCGGGGCAACAAGAAAAACAACATGTATCTGAAATAAGGGTTCGTCATGAAAGGCACCTTTACCACGGTGAGGTCGCAAGCCTCCTCTGGCAATTTGACCAGAACGAAGGGGCTGCTTGCTTTATTTGGGTGCCCCTTCGGGAGATCTCGTTTCTGGCTCTCCCCAAACTCCGGAAGGAGTTCCCTGCTGAGCTACTTGTAAGGGGTCCTCGTGAGACTTTCCCCTGAAAGTGGAGTCCCAGTGACTTGTCCAAACAGGAAGTAAGTTTGGGCAGCTGATAAAAGCTAGTCATCGGCAGAAGGGCCCTGCGCCAATTCTTCAGCGGAAGCTTTCCTGATACAGGGGTCCCAATCCCATGGTTCCCAATCCTTGATCCATAGAGTTGGAGGCCCCGGTTCCAATCCCTTCCCACAACCCTGAAGAGCAGCCACGGTCTCAGTCCTCGTCCCTGGCAGGCAATCGGCTGCCAGCTTTGGTCGGGAAGTCGAAGCCGTCGTCGTCAAAAAGAGAGGAGCCCTGCGCACTTTCGTGTCACCACTGGGTATCTACGTAGGTGTAACCTGAGTGGCAAACGTTCCACTGGTTCATCCCAAAGCATGCCGAAGCTCCCCAGTTCCCAAGTTTCGACTGGAGGTTCTGTTCGCAGCTTTGATGAAGCTCCCCGTGCAAGACTGTCGGCCCCACAATGCGATATCACATCACAGTTGCTCAGAGCGGAGTCAGATTAATTCTGGCGAGAACTGAACTAGGAGAAAACAACTGACAAGCCCAAAGCTGGCCCGTGTTTCCAATCCCACACTTAGGCCTCGCAAACTCTGCCTAGACTCCTCTGCCAACACAGTGTCTTACCTTGAGACCTACAACCAAGCAAAGCTTCGCAGCTGAGCTGTTCCACGCGCAACAGCCTCACCGGGACGTCCTTGTGGTCCCTCCCTACCAAAAATCCGCTGGACTCGTCGTGCTAAGCACAACGGCTCCCTCGCTGGGTTCATTGTCTCTTTTGGTTCGCCAGTCATTCCATGCGGCAAATTCCACAAATTGGAGAAGAGTGAGTTGTGCATTTTGTTTTTGACTTTGTGAGTGTTTCCGAAACCTGACCCCCTAAAAATTGTGGTGTCCTGGTGGTTTCTAAAAAGCACCCATCCAAAGGGAGGTGCAACCAGAGTCCCCACATGTGCCATGGTCAAAGATCCTTCCGGGCGTGGTCATGGTTCCTTCAGTGGAAATCCCAACAATGGTTGCATCTAAACTCATTAAGGGCTCATGATTACCAACCCCAAGAAGTATGGTCTTTTGCACACACGGGCCGGTCTCACAACAGGAAGCACCATTGTGGAAAGGCTTGAAAGAGAAACGGGAAACTGAACAATTAGCGTACGCAAGAGGCCCTAAGTGTTGCAAGGCATTGAAGTGAATCCAAGAGGCAACCAGACTCAGAGGGCTCCCTTCAAAGGACCCTGGACTTTTGCTTGGCTCTAAAGGGAAACGCAAGGAAACCAACGATCTGGGGGGGGGGGGGGCACCCTCCCCTATTTGGAGACACGCCCTGTCACAACTGCCCTGCCTTCGAAGCTGAGGGCGCCTGGGTCAGAAACAGAGCAAAGAGCGAAGAGCAAAGAGCCGAGAGAGCACAGACCGATTGCCATAGGTGGTGGGTGGTGGTCGATAGCATTGCTTCCTTGAAACGGGCAGAGACGGGAATGCTCGCCCAAACCTTCAGGAAGCGAAGGAACCCGGGAACATTGGCTGATTTCTGCTGGTGTTTTGATGACTTCACCCGTGAGCCACCGTTTCCGCGAGCAACTCTGTACAAAGGTTTCTGGGAGTTTGGCTAGAAACAAATGGGTTCCACGGGTTTAGATGCTTTTCTTCCACTTACAATATTATTCCGCAAAGTCACCTATTCCACGGATCAAGCAAGTGAAGCTTCTCCAAGATAGCAAATGATTCGAACATGTTGTGAACATCAAATGCGGTAGCGGGTTTCCCCGGATTCACCTTTTCCATTTTCCCTCTAGAATTGTGCTTGAGTACCAAGCAGTTCAATGTGTTTTCTGAAAACTGCATGGGAAGCCATGCTGTGCACATTCAGACAGTTTGCCAAGAAGTCCTAAACAAACGATTGTGTTGTGCATGCCCTTACACCCTGCTTGTTTGAAACACAAGGTGAATTTTCAAAGGTGGACATTCGTAGCCCTAACTAAAGCTCGACTCCTGGTGGCGAAGCTTTCAGGGGGTCAACATTTGCACCAATGTTGGAAATGCCTTTGAATGGCCATGAAACTGCGCACCCCTGCCTCATCAAAGAGGGACCCAGCGCTTTTGGCGGGCGATGCCTGACGCGCCGACGCACGACTCTGCGGTGTCACACGGGGGCCAAAACCGCGTGAAAGCCTCGAACTTTCCAGCAGGGCATCCCCAATCATCGGGTCTCACTGACCGCGTCCCATCCAAGCACCTGCCAAGTCTGGCTCATGAGCACCTCTTCTAACAGCATAACAAGACTCGAATAGAAGGGCCGGATTGGCCTTGCCACATGATCCTTTCGGATGCGCAGCTTGAGAGATCCATTTTTAAACGTGGCAAAAATGACACCGAAGCGAGACCCCAACGAAATCGGTCCAATTCTTGAAAACCTCAAATCAGCAACAGGGGGGAGCTGAGTTTGGCAATCCACAAAATGCAGATCTCACAACCTAGTTCTAGTTAAGGTCTGTTCAAACCCTAAGGAAATTCTTAAAACCATGCCCCGACCCCAGATGTGTGAACCCTCCGCGCTCAGCCCCGGCCTTCGCCGGTCGCGGCACCTCCGGGGAGGGCAGAGCCGGGCCCTCATGGGAAGGAAATGGTTGCGCAAAGCGGAGTCGAAACATTATAGGCTTCTGTGTATAATTCTATATCTATATATGTAAATATACACATGGGAAGTGCTCAAAACATCCTGTTCAAATCTAGGGCATAAGGAACTCTGACGTCGATGCGCTGGCGAGACATTACGCGAGCGGTAGCTTGCGCGACCGATTGCGCAACACGCTGGCCTTCAGCCGCCACATGTTTGTCTTACGCGGGGGGCCCTGATGACCACCTTCAATCGCAAGGCAATGTTGTTTTGAACGCTCACATATACCTACACATCATGTACATCATGTTTTGTTTGCCACCTGTCACCAGCAAACATGAATGAAAGTTTGCGCAAACGTCTGCCAGAATTCAACAACATCTGCTGAACAGCTGTGGCCATTTGTGGTCATGTGAGCAACCTGCAGCTTCCCGCTAGCAAGGGAACGGGTGTTGTGCAGATGTCGCCAACCGAACTGTCAAAAAGTTAAAGGTCAAACCAAAGGGTAATCGCGTCACATGACATGTTGCTCGCTTGGCTCAACGACTCAAAGCTGATGAGCAGATTTTCGCGCAGCGATCACCGTCGGAATTCCTTGTTGAAATCCGTATATTTTGTTATTGTTCTTCGCATGGAAACTGGTCCACGTCATGTCTTTGACATCGGACTCTGGAAACCGCCGCTAGAATCTCACATGTAGCGAACCTTTTGTGCCACTCCATGCGAAAATTGGGTTTGGAATCCACAACTCGCAGCCCTGGTACCACTTGGAAAAAACCTTGTCTGGCCAAATGGATCCGTATAACTCCAAATGTCAGCTTCACGTGGGCCACCTGCTCTCCTTACAAGCAGTCTAGTTGATAAGTCCTTCTCCCCAGTCGAACGAAACGATGCCATTCCGGGGCCCACAAATCAGGGAGCACCCCCAAACAACATATCATATCTGAGAATGCATGTTCATGTTCGTCACTGCAAAATGCAATACTTGCGCGTAACACTTCTGAAGTTTCAATTACAAATTCAGAAATGCGCTGACTGAGTTTATCAACACCTTTGTGTTATGTAGAACGTGGAGATGAGGGTGTGGTCAGGTGTGCCTCAAAATGGGGAACCTCCAGAATGGGTGTTTGTTCCTTGATTTCTCTTCTAGATCTTCAATTTATTCCCACACAAGCAAAGGACCCCAATAGGGAGATATCCTGAAGAAGGCAGCGCAATCGCTTGAAGATCGGTGTTGGTGTTCCCATCTCACCGCAAGGCCCAGAGAAAAGAGATCGAGCGCCTGAATGTAGCCCAGGGAGAGGAGACGGGGCCGCAGGAAAGAGTTGCTGGGTGCTAAATGGCGACACCGCCATGACTTTCCTCTGGCAGCAATCATTCAAATGGTGTCATCATGATTTGAGGAAGACAGTTTGCTTTACTGAGCACCAGGCGGCTGGCAAGTGCAGTTGATGGCAGCTGTGACGGGGATGGGGCTGGCTGGGTCACTGGTGCTACACGCCAAGGGCTTGGTGTGTAGACCAAAAAGCGCCTGGGCCACAAGAAGATCTTGGTACTCTTGGTACTTGAAGTTTAGGGTGTCCAACCAGCGGAAACCGCGTGTGCCTCACGTAGTTGTTGACAATGCGTGTGTGTGTGCCCAGAAAAGGAAGGAACTCATTTGGACGAGGACGAAAACGATATATATATATACACACTATTATTTCTTCTTTTTTTTTTTTATATGTTTTTGGGGGGATAGTCATCATGATGAGGGGTGGTCAAGTCGTGCCAACGGAAAACTGCCGCATGCCTGCTCAAAGGTGCAGCTCCGCTCAAAAAAATTCAACTTGCGCCTTCTGGGAAATTGCCCCCGAGCGCATCACCCTGACACTGTATGCAGATTGCATATGTATATGTATATATATATATATATATCATACACATACAGAGGTAGAGGGGTCCTAAGTTCCAAAATCACTTCCAATAAGCCACCCCCGGGACGGACTGCCTGGAAGGGCTCGTCGTCAAAGAGGGAGCTGGAGCTTGCAGGAGACGCCTGAGCTGCAGAGTGATCAAGCTTGAGACCCCAGAGGCAGGGGGCCCTTGGCGGACCGTTTGGGTGCTTCAAAACATACCCTCCCACTGACTAACACGGGGCCTGCACTTGAAAATCATATTCTTTTCGATGGGCCTTACCAGTGGGAGGGAGGGAGTTCCTTCTGGTTTCTCTTTCAACAACATTGAAAATAGGGACCCAAAGCCGCAAACAAGGAAGTGTCCCAAGTTCAGTGGCCAATTTTCAAGCTCGAACCCTATGGCAGCAATGTGCACAAGCGATGTCCTGAACGGAAATCCCAAAGTGTGCCGGGCCGAAAAAAGAACGACCTCAAAACATTATGGCAAGAAGGTGGTTTGGAAGGGCCTGCTCAGTGCAATCAAGCGAGTTTTGCTTTGCATGGCAGACGCCAAGCAAAACCGCCGCTTGCTGCAGCATTTCGCGTCCTGTAAGAAGATACAAAAAAAGACAACGCACCAAGAACAAAAGCGACCTGGGAGAACGCTTCAATTGTGCACAAAAGACCCCAGTACCTCCACAAGAACTCTTGGTTTTGTCCAATCAATTCATGGGTGTTTCAGAACTACACCCAAAGCAGCAAACTAACATTTCTGTTTGGCGGTGATCATCACTGGTCGACGTTTGCTTCCGTGCACCAGAAAAGGGGCCCGGGCACTGCCAATCTGGGAAACAGACCAGCAGCTGTCAGCCACACACCCACGTCCCCCGCCCCGCCCCGCCTTTGAAGAAGCTTGCAAGGGTGCCTGCCGAGAGGAGCGGCAAGGTTCAGGATGGAACTGCTGATTCTTGCCCAAAGCTTGCCGGCCAGTTCGAATAGAAAAATACGACCACTTGTCTGGCTGGTGTGATGCGGAAGGAAGTGGCTGATCTTCCTACCAAGATCAACAGAGATTCCCTTCGCGGCAACAACAGCAAATGACATCAGCAGGGGAAAAACCGCTTTCAAAAATGGCATCGCAAGCAAATAGCAAAACAAAGTTCGTAGGTCATCAAGGAAACAAGTGGTTATTTATTCCTCAAAGTGATTCAAAGAAACAACTGGCGCCTTTTCATTTCCCGAGGGATCACCACAGGAACGTACCAAAATCCCAGGTGGGAAACAACTACACTTCTGCTAAGACCTGTGCCAAAATCAACGAGACTTCCCGGCAGGACCTCACCTTTGCCCCAACTGAAAAGTAACTTATCCAGCTCTAGGTCCGCTGCGGAGCGGACTTTTACTTGAGCCAGACACAGAGTCGCACAACCTGTACAAGCGTATTGGGCATATATGGAGGAACAATTTATTACTCCTCCTTGGTGGAGCAGCCCTCATGGGCTGATCATACCGCAAACTCCCAAGAACTGATGGGACCAGCTCAAGGGACTTCCGTGGGAGGTCACTGCAAGGCGCGCCGCAGGTACACCAAGGGGCACCTCGGCTGGTGAAGCCGAAGTACTGGTAAGTGAGGACAGGTTAGAAGTTCCACCGCCGGCAGTCCACGTCATGAATCTACATCAGGAAGGCCGACGTGGACAAGTATGGATCGACGGACGGGTGTCCGGGTTGCACAGGTGTGCTGCTAGGTGAGTCCACTGTCCTGCCACATCTGGAATCATGCAGGGCGAGGATTGTGGGGCTCATGCTAGACGACGAGCAAGGACGTCAGCGAATCGAAGAACACAAGAGAAAGCGCAAGGTTGTACCGGAAGACAAAGATGTCACGGTAAAAGAGGCTACAGGAGAGCCCGACGTCCCAGCCGGGAGTTTCAACCGAACAGGCAAAGCCCTCGGACGCAAGTGGACTGAGCCTGAGTCGTTTGAAAACGATGGTGAAGAACATGATTGAAAGGAAGGTTGAACGAGCTTACAAAGCCTATGAGATGGACATAACGCACAAAGGAGCTCAACTCCATTACGGTTCTCTGCTGCGAGATGGGTGCTGTGGATGTGATGGAGGTGTATAGTCCGAAGAGGTTCACAGGAGAAGCAGCTAGGTTCGGATTGAAGCCTGGCTATGCTATAGACCCAGAGGAGCAGCAGCCGGACGGATCTTATTGCGATCTTCTGAGTCCGGAAGACGTGAAGCAAGTTGAAGCTTTGATCGACAAGGGCCAGCCGATCCGGTTGACTGGTAGTCCACCACGCGACCAGTTTTCCCAGTTGCAGAACATCAACAAGTACAGGATCAGTCCTGACCAGCGCCGAGTGAGGATGGACAAGGCGCTGCGCCACTTGCACACCTCATGCAGGTTGAGTTGCAGTCAGGAAGGTGTTTCCTGCACGAGGCACCATGGAGTGCTACTTCGTGGAAAGACCCGGAGGTCAAGGAACTCTTAGACCGAGATGATGTACACCTTGTCGTGAGAGGCCCGATGCGCCGATGGTCTATGGAGTCCACCGACAAGCGAGGGCGCCAAGCCTGAGAAAGGAGACAGCATTGATGACCAACAACAAGTTGTTGGCCGATTTGCTACAAGGAGTGCCAAACCATGGCACAGGCACATTCATCTGATCGGCGGTATGGCTCGAGCGGCTGCTCGCGCAGCTGCTGGGATGGAGCCTCGCCGAACTTCGCGGACTGCTTGAGCAAGCCTTTGAGCACCCGGAACTGCCTGCTCACCTGGCTCCTCCTCCGATTGTGGTAGGTGCCCTTCTTGCTCCGGCCGCGAATGCGAGGGCTTGCCTTTGCCCTTGGCCTACCAGCTGGCGGGTGGGCCGGACTCCGGGGGCCTCGCTCTGCTTCTTCTAGCCTCCGGATGCTGTTTTTTCACCTCGTCCGGATAGGGATCGTACCTGGGCTTCCACTCACCCCAATCCGAATCGTCCGAGTCCTTTTTCTCAAGCTCCTTGAACTCCTTCTTAGGCTCCTCGGCTGGCTCTTCCGGAGCTGGCTCGTCTGGCGACCAGTCCGGCGATGTGGGAAGCCCCTCCTGCTCCTCCTCGGCTCTAGGTCCGCTGCGGAGCGGACTTTTACTTGAGCCAAAACACAGAGTCGCACAACCTGTACAAGCGTGTTGGGCATATATGGAGGAACAATTTATTACCAACCAAACACAACATTATGCAAAATTAGGCCTAAGAGGACCAATGGTGTCATTCATTCGAGCGGTCACTGATCTTCAGGAGGTTTTATTGAAGTCTACAATGATTGAATCAGAACAACAAAGCCAAACTTGCCAACAGTGCCAAAACAGACCAGAACAGTACGGTCCATCTTGACCTCGTCGAAGAGCGAGGCACTGCCCGAACTTGGTTTCGGTGAGGCCTGGCGAGAACACATGGCACTGGTCTATGAACACTGCGCCAAACGGACGTTCCATCTAGACTGACACCTAATTCTGGGTCAATGCTGAAGCCCTGATTTGTGTGGCGAGTTCTCCAAAATGGTCACGCTAGTCAACACAATGGCTTGAACAGTTGTCCCGGGATGTGCTTGTGTATACATGTCTATATATGGTTCCGGTCGGCGAGCCCCCTATCCCCCCACTTGGTCTCCGGGTACGACTCTCGAAGCCTTGGGGAACCACCCGGGCCAGGCGGGGGGGGGCCTTTTTTGCAAGATGACCATAACCTGCAAAACCAGCGGGCCCACAGGGGGAGCGCACACCGGGCTACGACTCGAAGCAAGATGCCCTAACCGGAACCACCAGCAGGGCCCACAGGGGGGAGAGGCCTTTTGCAAGATGACCATAACCTGCAAACCCAGCGGGCCCACAGGGGGAGCGCACACCGGGCTACGACTCGAAGCAAGATGCCCTAACCGGAACCACCAGGGCCCACAGGGCCTTTTGCAAGATGACCAGGGGGGAGGGCCTTTTGGATTTTGCACCATAACCTGCAAAACCAGCGGGCCCACAGGGGGAGCGCACACCGGGGTACGACTCGAAGCCTTGGCCCTAACCGGAACCCACCAGCGGGCCCACAGGGGGGGAGAGGCCTTTTGCAAGATGACCATAACCTGCAAAACCAGCGGGCCCACAGGGGTGGGGCCCTATTTAACTACCATGACCATGGCGGGGGAGGGGGGGGTGCCAGACCTCTACCATATATATATATATACAAGCATATGTATATATATGCTCACCCCCCCTCCCATGATCCACGTGGTCAAGTATGTGCTTTAAACAGGCCTAAAAGGAGCGCCCATTCAAAATCTGGTGCGTTTTAAAAAATGTTTTATTGAAACCGTGCTTAAACTAAGAGAGAGCCTTGCAATTTAAACCTTGTATTAAACTCCTACTTGGAAAGGAACTCCTATTGAACATCCCATTCAAAATAGAATTCAAATTAAATTCGGATGAAAAAGCTTCTGAAACTCGAAGCCTTGTAACTATATCTTGCAAACCAATAGAACTGAAAGCGGTTGCTCACTCCTTTTAAGGGGCAGGCACATTAGAAGAAACAACCAGCTTGTCTTTCCTCACTAGATTCTGTTCACATCCGAATTAAAATCCTATTTGGGATTCACCCCGGTTAAGCATCTAATTTAAATTACAGAACAGGTCACCCTGAGCGTGCGTTTTGTTTTGCGATTATCTTGCTTACTTCAGGAAACACATAGCTCTTGGCATATCTTTTGAGAAAGTGTGAAAACCTTCAGAAAACCACAAGCACCAAGCAATCAAAAAGCAAGCAAAACAAGACTATGTCAGCTGTCCTGGTGGGGGCGTAGTCCTGTTTCTTTTGGTTTTCTCGAGGTTTTTTGCATTTATTTGGAAAAGTGTGAACAACCTTGATAAAACAAAAACAAAAACAAGACTATATCAGCTGTCCTGGCTTGGGGGGGGGGGGGGTAGTCTTGTTTTGTTTGTTTTTTCTCCAGGTGTTTTGCATTTCTTTGAAAAATTGTGACAACCCCTGAGAAAACCAACAAAAAGCAAACAAACATAATTCTATCAGCTGTCCTGATTTGGGGGGTATAACATGTTTTGTTTTTGTTGTCTCGAACTGTTTTTTGCACTGTACCCTTCTGTGATCAAGTGTGCTGGTGTACTTCACCTCCAAGCCCTAGTGCCGCAAGTTAGAGATGGTTTCCTCTGCTAAAACCGTTCCATATTACAATCGTCTTAATTATATTTAGCTAATCACTTGACAAACATATTGAATAGAGTTCGCAAGAAAGAAAGTAGAGGTCCCAAAGCTGTTAGAAACATGTTGTTTAAGTGCGCTAAACATTATCGGCATCTCTGGTGTTTTTCCTTGTGAATCTTACTTGATATATTCATCAAGTTCTACTTAATACCTATCTCACATTAGATAGAATTTGACCAGGAAAGAATCCAAACAGCTTTCAAATTTAAAGTATAGATTGAATAATGAGCATTCTATTTCAAAACAAACATTACACAAGATTTCCTTTCCAATCGTCAATAGCTGGCAGATGTCCAGTTGAGCCACATTCTCAAAACCCGGGTAAGTGAAGGCGAGTAAGGGGAAACCCCAACAATAAAAATAAAAATGGATGCAGGTTCGGAGTCGGCCCTGTCCATTCCTGGCTTTGATTTTGAACCACTACAGGGAACCAAGGAAAACTATATAGTACATATGTCGAAGTTGTGCAAGGCCTGGGTGAAGTAGCACAACTCATCGGCCAAACATCAGGGTTTCCGATGGAAGGAGCCTTCGCGCGGCTTAAGTGGGGGCGCAGGCCAACAAAAAGGCGCGATGCAATTTGCCCAGAATCGACGTAGCTCAGTAAGACCCTGCTTGACCCGGCAAGTAAACATTGCAAACGTAACATGTGTATCATATGAGTTGACCTATCACGCTAACAAACGGTCGGGGTTTATACTACAACCCGTTATCAGTTGACCCGGGGAAAAATAAACTATGATGCAATGCGCAGTCGGATATCTCCTGGATTGGCAGGAGACGTGATCCGGCGAAGCTGCTGGAGAATGTGATTCGCGCGCGAATCCCGAATCCCGAATCCCGCATCCGAGGATCCCGGTCCTGAATCCAGAATCCCGAACACCAACCCTAAAACAAGCCGAAGTCAACCGTAAACCAACCGTAAACCAGCCCCTAATACCAGCCCTAAACCAACCCGAAACCGGTCCTAAACAAGCTCGACTCTCGGATGCCGAATCCCAAATCGAGGATGGGGCCTTCTCTGTCCCAACTCCCAAATCTCCGAGCCTTCCCAGTCCAATCCCGAATCAATCCCGAACCCCAAAATGCGATTCGAGCCCCAAATCGTAAAATTGTGATTCGAGTCCCGAGTCCCTAATCCCAAATCCCAAATCCCGAAAATGTGATTCGAGTCCCGAATCCCGAATCCCGAATCCAAAACCCCGGATCCCGAAAATGTGATTCGAGTCCCGAATCTTGAATCTCGAAAACCGAATCCCGAAAATCTGATTCGAGTTCCAGAATCCCCCGAAAATGTGATTCGAGTCCCGAATTCCGAGCCCCAAGCCCCGAATCCCGAAAATGTAATTCGAGTCCCGAATCCCGAATCCCGAAATGATTAAATCCCGAATCACGAAATTGGCAGCAACCTCCGGATCGCCACTCATTGGCAGGTGAGCTGTCCCCGTAATCACTGAAAATGGGAAAACGCCTCTGGCTTTGTGGTTGAGGTTGAGCGAGCCCCACTTGTCCCAAACCCCAAAATTCAACATGGGCCGCTGGAAGTTTGGACCAAATCTCGTAGGGACCCTACTTGAAGACGCCATCGGTTAACAGTACTCCGGGCAAGTGGTTGGTAACCCTGGTTACGACCCCATTCAATCGCCCCTTCAGGCAGTGCCCCTGTGCGATGGCCTAACAGCTGTGTCCATTTGGATCGCATTGTCGAAATTGATGCAGCAATTTCGAAAACCTGTCAAACTCACTTTCTTAGTGGCTGTTGCGCCCTGAATACAATTGTTCGTTTAGGGGGAAGCTCACATTTCCCGTCACAGTTGAAGCTTCAAGACCCAAGCCCAAAAGATTTAAACCACAGAGCAAAGTGCGTTCAAGGAGCCGGGGCCGCCGTGGGCAGCGCCTGGCAGATGTCTGGTTGAGCCACGTTCTCAAAGCCCGGGTAAGCGAAGGCGAGTAAGGGGCAACCCCAACCATAACACGTTTAATGGGTGCGGGTTCTGAGTCGGCCCTTTTCATTCCTGGCTTTCATTGTGAACTTTGATGTACTTGGTGGCATCCATGCAGATCACAAAAGAGCACAGAGAAACCGATGCCGGTGGTGTTCCGATTGCGCAAAATGTGCACCACAAGGAACCAAAGAAAACTATATAGTAGGTGTGTCGAAATTGTGGTCGGGGAGTCCGCCAGAATGGCCTTTGAAGAACACGGCCTCAACAAGGCCTGGGTGAAGTAGCGGCTTCCTATGCAAGGAGCCTTCGCGGAGCTTAAGTGGGGCGCACGCCAACAAAAGGGCGCGATCCAATTTGCCCAGAATCCACGTAACTCAGTAAGACCTTGCTTGACCCGGCAAGTAGACATTGCAAACAGAACATGTGTATCATATGAGTTGATCTATCACGCCAACAAATATACTATAACCCTTTATCAGTTGACCTGGGAAAATAAACTATGATGCGATGCACAGCGGGCTCTTGCTTTGTGGTGGAGGTTGAGCGAGTCCCACTTGTCCCAAACCCCAACAATTCAACATAGGCCACTGGAAGTTTGGACCAAATCTTGTAAAGCGAAGAGGCAACACAAAGCGAGATGTTTCATCCTTGTTTGATTCAACGCGGGAATGGAAATCCAAAACCCAAGCTAACACTAGTTGCAGGTGACACATCTGGCGGAAGCCTTTTGCGACAAAAAGTCAAGCACCTTCAGTAATCTAGGTCTGAAGGTGGGCTGTGATGTGTATATATATAAACATATGGAGATCTCCAAACTATGGACCCTTTTTGGACTGACGGTGTTAAAAACAACCCAAGGAACAACCCTTTTTTATGGCCCCCATTTTGAGAAACCTCGATATTGATGATATACGGGAAACAACACTAGAATGCAAACAAGCACACGTATAGATCAACAAATGCTTGATAGATCTGCAAGTTGCGCAGCTTTTCGCTGCGCCCCGTGATTCCCTGATGCAGGCGCCTTGGGGGCCGCGGGCGCTAGAGCCTGGTAGGGAGGGAAGCTCTGGGATGCGCAACGCTTGCGGCTCTTTTGTGCTGGCTCATCTTTGGAGGTTGCAGACTAGAACAAGCAAACCAGACAAGCAAACAAGGAAACAAGGAATCTTTGCGGCGGTTGGAACCAACTGAAACGAAAGAAAAACAAGGGGCCCAAGCTTTGGGTTTGAACTACCTTAGTTGGTTACTAAGTGGGCGAACCCCCAATAAGGAGGGTTACAGCCCCATAAGCAAATCATGAGGCTGCCCAGCAAAATACCAGAATACTTGCCCAAGAAGCACAAGCAGCCGCAGCAGCCAAGCGAGAACCACCTCGCAGCTAAACAAAATGCATGGGGGTTGCAAAGGGCCGCCACACCCTGCTGCAGTAGAGCAAGCACAACCTTCCTTCCTAATTCCCTCCTTCCTGCCTAATCCGGCCGTCCTTCCTTCATTGAAACAGCTCAATTGGCAAAGAACAACAAGAAACTGGTTCGCTTTCGCGGCCTTCTTTCTTTCCTTCCTTGCTTCCTTCCTTTACTCCTTCGCAGTTGTGCGTTATGTACAGCATCCGCAGCCTAAGTTCCGCCAGGTTCTGGGCCGAACCGCGACAATTGAAACAGCTGAATTGGTAAAGAACGACAAAGAAACTGGCTCGCCTTTCGCGTCTTGTTGATGCCCACACTCCCAAATCCCTCGAAGTGAGGAAACACAGCACGATGCATGCCACGTTGCCAACGTAAGAAATAATTAACGCCAGAATATGTTGGCCATGATGTTGCTCCCTCTCACAGACAACAGCTGCCAGGCTCTTCTGAGAAGACTGTGTGTCTGAGGAAACCTCAGAAAGGCAATCAGAAACAAGGATCAGGGATACTTGACGTATCTTGGCGACTCGTTCCCAGCGATCCCATGACGATTGCCCAATCTTCAAACTGCCGATTTATCCTGTCAGCTTGTGTGGATTGCGTAAGTTCCATGCCTCTTGCATTTTTCCCTCATTAGCATGAAACCCCATAGCGCCCCCTGCCCAGTTTGAGGCTGGCCCTGGCTGATCTTCAAACTGCCGTCGCACACTTCGCATACGTGGACAAGCCGGTCCCCCACAAATCTCAAAGCCGCCAGAGAAAACAAGAACACGACGGCTGCTCGCCAGCTGATTTCCTCTGCAAAAGGGAAGAACATTGCGCAACAGCACTAGAGCATTGTGATCCAAGCTCGGGGATTGCAGGGCAAAAAGTAAGTAGCTGAGCGATGGTGAGATGGTGTAGATGAGATTGGGTTAGCCCGCCGGAAAGGCAGTACCAACAATTACAAGTCCTTGATTGCGTGGAATACCCAACCCCAACCGGGTGAAGGCAACCATTTCACTCGCGCAACTATGTGCCCACCAACTCAAAATGAGAAACGTTCGCCCGCATAAAACAACTCCACCACCACCAAGTGTGATCTCACGAGCCCCAAGTGAACTTGTGCTTCATTTGGGCAAAGCACATTCGAGGGCAATTCACTTCACCACTGATGAGGGGCGTAACTTCTTGTTTGCCCTCCCACAAACAAGTTAGGAAGAGAAAAGGCGCCCTTTTAAAACGGACAGTACGCCATATGAGGTCTGCGCACCTCCCATGCGTAAGAGAGGTATAGTGACACAAGTCGCATCCAGGAAGGAGTGCGACTTCCCAATATTTCTAAACAGAACCTGAAAGCTGCGCTGGATCCGTAGAACTATCTTGAGTTTCGAACCAGCATGGGTTTGAGGAATGTTCAAAGCCATCCGTTCAGGGCAAGCATAAGGGACCCTACTTGAAGACGCCATCGTTTACAGTACTCCGGGCATGTGGTTGGTAACCCTGGTTGGTAACCCGGGAAATTGACATTGTCGGACACAACAACAGCAAGCTTCGAAAACCCGTCGAAACGTAATCACTTTCTTGGTGGCTGTTGCGCCCCAACAAAGTGCGGTCAAGGAGCTGGGGCCGGCGTGGGCAGCGCCTGGCAGATGTGCGGTTGAGCCACCTTCTCAAAACCCGGGTGAAGGCGAGTAAGGGGAAACCCCAATAAACATATAAATGGATGCAGGTTCTGAGTCGGCCCTGTCCATTCCTGGCTTCGATTTTGAACCACCACACAAGGAACCAAGGAAAGCTGTCGAAGTTGTGATCGGGGGGCCCGCCAAAATGGCCTTTGAAGAACAGCCTGAGGCCTGGGTGAAGTTGCACAACTCATCGGCCAAACATCAGGGTTTCCGATGGAAGGAGCCTTCACGCGGCTTAAGCCAGGGCTCAGGCCGGCAAGTAGACATTGCATACATAACATGTGTATCATATTAGTTGACCTAACACGCCAACAAACGGTCGGGGTTTATACTAAAACCCGTTATCAGTTGACCGCACCCAAACCCTGAAAAAGGCAGGGTGTGCCAAAAACCGGAGGTTTAACATTGAAAACCTACGAAAAATACGGGGTTAGTGCGGGTTAAATACCTGGTTTTGCCCTGCTTCTTTTCAGGGTGTAGGCTCACTAGGTATGATGCAATGCACAGTGGGATTTCTCCTGGATTGGCAGGAGACGTGATCCGGACAAGCTGGTGGAGAACGTGATTCGCGCGCGAATCCCGAATGCCGAATCCCAAATCTGAGCATGGGGCCTTCCCAGTCCAAAATCCCGAATCCTGAATCCCGAATCCCGAGTCTGAGGGTGGAAGGCCCCATCCTCGGATTCGGGATTCGGGATTCGGGAAGGCCTCATAGTCCCGAATCCTGAATCCCGAATCCGAACCCTGAACAAGCCCAAAACCAACCCTAAATAAACCAGCCCCTAGACAAACCCTAATCCAACCCTAAACCAACCCTCAACCAGCCCAAGCCAGCCCTAAACCAACCCTAAACCGCCCTAACCAGCCCTAAACCAGTCCTAAACCCTAAACCAACGCTAAACTAGCCCTAAACCAGCCCTAAACTAACCCTAAACCAACAACCCTTGAACTAACCCTTGAACTAACCCTAAACCATCCCTAAACCATCCCTAAACGAACCCTAAACCATTTAAAACCAACCCCGAACCAACCCTAAACCAGCCCTAAACCAAGCCAAAGTCAACCCTAAACCAACCGTAAACCAGCCCCAAACCAGCCCTGCTTGAACCATCCCTAAACCAACCCTAAACCAGTCTTAAACAAGCCCTAAACCAACCCAAAACCAACCAGCCCTTTATCAACCCAAATCTCGACTCTTGGATCCCAAATCCGAGGATGGTGCCTTCCCTGTCCCAAATCCCGAATCTCCCAATCCGAGGATGGGGCCTTCGCAGTCCAATCCCGAATCAATCCCAAATCCCAAAAATGCGATTCGAGTCCCGAGTTCCTAATTCCAAATCCCGAATCCCGAAAATGTGATTTGAGTCCCGAACCCCGAAAATGCGATTCGAGTCCCGAATCCCGAATCCCGAGTGCCGAAAATGTGATTTGAGTCCCGAATCCCGAATCCCAAATGCCGAACATGTGATTCGAGTCCCAAATCCCGAATCCCGAAAATGTGAATCCCGAATCCTGAATCCCGAAAATGTGATTCAATCCCGAAATGTGATGACATCACGAAATTGGCAGCAACATCCGGATCGCACTCATTGGCAGGGGAGCTGTCCCCGTAATCACTGAAAATGGGAAAACGCCTCTGGCTTTGTGGTTGGTTGAGCGAGTCCCACTTGTCCCAAACCCCATAAAGCGAAGAGGCAAAACAACGCGACATGTTCATCCTTGTTTGATTCAACGCGGGAATGGAAATCCAAAACCCCAAGCTAACAATGCCCAACATCTGAAGACATTAGTTGCATGTGACACATCTGGCGGAAGCCTTTTTGCGACAACAAGCCAAGCACCTCGTCCAAGTTCAGTAATCTAGGTCTGAAGGTGGGCTGAGATGTGTAGATAACTGCATGGAGATCTCCAATCTACTGACCCTTTTTGGGCTGACAGTGTAAAAGACAACCCAAGGAACAACCCCTTTTTATGGCCCCCCATTCTGAGAAACCTCGATATTGATGATATACGGGAAACAACACTATTATGCAAACAAGCACACGTGTAGATAACAAATGCTTGATAGATCTGCAAGTTGCGCAGCTCTTCACTGCTCCCCGTGATTCCCTGATCCAGGCGCCTTGGGGGCCGCGGGCGCTAGAGCCTGCAGGGAGGGAAGCTCTGGGATGCGCAACGCTTCCGGCTCTTTTGTGTTGGCTCATCTTTGGAGGTTGGGTTGGAACCAACTGAAACGAAAGAAAAACAAGGGGCCCAAGCTTTGGGTTTGAACTGTAAGCGGGGGCCTGGTACTTGACTACCTCAGTTTGTTGCTAAGTGGGCTTATAAATCTCATGAACCCCCCAATAAGGAGGGCAACAACCCCACAAGCAAACCATGCGCTGCCCAGCAAAATACCTGTGCTTGCCCAAGAAGCACAAGCAACCGCATCAGCCAAGCGAGCACCAACGCATAGCTGAACAAAATGCGCGGGGGTTGCCAGGGGGTGCCACACCCCGCTCCAGTAGAGCAGACGCAACCTTCCTTCCTAATTCCCTCCTTCCTTCCTAATTCCCTCCTTCCTTCCTACTTCCGTCCTTCTTTCCAAAGTCCGTCCTTCCTTCATTGAAGCAGCTCAAATAGGTAAAGAACAACAAGAAACCCTCGCCGTGAGAAAAAAAACAGCACGATGCATCTCACGTTGCCAACGAGAGAAATAACGCCAGAATGTGTTGGCCATGACATTGCTCCCTTTCACAAACAGCTGCCAGGCTCTGCTCAGAAGACTGTTTGCCTGCCAAGGAAAGCTCAGAAAGGCAACCTGAAGCAATTTGTGTTGCGCCTATATGAAAGTGCCTTCCAATGCTAGGATTGCTCATCTTGCTCCCAATGCTAGAGTTGGCCACCTTGCCCCTCACTCCAGACACAAAGTGTAGCGCATCGGGCAATGCACTCCAGGCTGTTGAAAAAAAAACAAGCTCCGGCATAAGTGTCATTTCACTGCTTACAATCTCCCCTCACCACCTTTCTTTGCCCTATCCTGTGTCAACCGCAGCATTCTGCAAACTATTATGCCAACTCACAACACTTTATCCCTTGCACAGAGAACTGATCCTGATGTATACTGAAGCTTCGATGCTGGCAGTTGTGCTGGAAAAATCTTAGCCAGCCATCGGAGTTGAAGCAAAACAATGTTGCCCATGGCCAGCTCTCTCTCTCTCTCTCTCTCTGCATTCCTTCTTGATTGCCACCGGAACAAAAACACAAACTTTTCGTAATGCTAACACTCGCGCATATACATTCCGCGATGCAACTGCCCCTTTCCACCCGCAACCCAACCTGGAAGTCCAGCCGCCAAAGGTTGCCAACTGAGCGAGAAAGCAACCACAGCACGCTGTCTGGCAAGACTCCACGCGCCAAATCTGCTCACAGCGCGGGCGCACTCCGTTTCTAAGGCCGAGCCCCGGGCGGAACTCACCTCGGCTCGCAGTCGGGCGCCGCCCGAGACGGCCCGAGCCGCGGCCCTTCCCCCGAGGCCCAGGCCGCCGCCCTTGTAGCCTCGGCTCGGTGCCCGGCGCAGTTTGTCGCGAGGAGCCGCTCCCGGGGCCCCGGGCCACCGTGGACGATCATCGCCCCCCCGCCGTCAGTCGGGCAGTAGGTGGCCGTGTGCCCATACTGCGGCTTGGGGGCCTCCCCCGTGGGGGACAGCGCAGTCCAGCTGGTGGCCTCCCAGGCCCCACACCCCTTGGAAAGGCCTGGCAATCTTCTCCAGCAGTTAGGTAGCATTGACATCAATAAGTTTTGTGTGGCCACTGCACGCTGCGCTCCAAACGCCTAGCCTGTACTGAGGCTGAATTGCGTTTACGGATCTGTGGCGATGATTCACTGCGCGCTTTGAGCGGAGGCTGTGAATGATACCGGATACGTTCTGTTTCAAGGCCGCAGCGTACAATTAAAAGAACACTTTCGGAATGTCATGACCAAGCAGCTATTTTATATCAGCCCCATGGCAACATGCATGCTAATTGCAGAGCAGCACCAGTAACGCATCAGGCGGCAGCTGAAGTGGAAGAGAAGGAATTCGGCGGTGTTGCCGGACCTCTCTGTGTTGAGCTGTTCAGCGCAGCAAAGCGCTGGAGGCAAAGACGTGAGCTTCAAGACCTCAGTCAAGTCAGTTCCAGCAGGACCAGCTGAGTCAGCGCCAGTGCGTGAAGTCTTCCAGCAATGATGAGCTCTGCCAGCACCGTGACTGCTCAGGTATGTTCAAATCATTCGCAACCAGACGCGGTATTGTAGGTGTCACAGGACGGCTGCGCTGGGGTTCTTTGTGCAAAACAAAGACCCTGCGACCCGTGAGGGCCTGAGCCTGAGTGGCAAGGTTTCGAACTCTTGACTGTTGGCAACTCGGCGTTGGCTTTGTTCGCGGTTTCTGCAAAAAGGTTCACTTTAGCTACATGGCACTCCGCGTCCCTTTACGTTCCCCTGTTTGCGCTGTGGAGCTGCAGGACGCAGATAGCGTTAAAAGCCAGATCGGGGCCCTGCTGAACTAGCGAAGGAGGAAGAAGCTGCAACAGGGGGCTGCCGTGCTCTCAGCCCCATGCTCGGGGAAGTTGGGGGCTGAACATCAGGACGCGGAGAAGGAAGGAATCCGAGGGGCAAAGTAGAAACAGGTATTGCGCTGGAACAAACAGCGGCACCAGAGCGCTGCGAGCTAAAGAGATGGTGCCTGGTCAGATTGATCAGCAAGACCAGAACAAACGCATGGGGAGTCCCAAACCACATGGTGAAAAACGCGCGGTATTGATTGGGGACGAGGCAAGACGGTGGAGAGCTGCGGGTTCGAACATCTTGGAAACAGCAAGGCGCTAGTTTGGCCCAACCTATAACCTATGAGCAGGTGAAGTACTTGGAGGCCAAAAAAAGTGACCACAGATCATGGTGTGCTGCTCTGGGTGAACGGGGAAAAGGAATTTCTCTCGGTCATCTCAGGATGGAAAAGGAGCTTGTCTCGGGGTCATTTCAGGATGGAAATCTGTGGCCTCCAGTTGAGGCTTTTCAGGCGAAAGACCTGAGGAATCGAAACATTGCGTCAGTTGATGAGGTTGCAATAAGTCTTTTGCGGTGAAGCTCAGGTAGAGACACTCCAGACTCGCATCGTTGATTCATGTCGGTTCACAGAGCTGCTGAGAAACAAATACGATTGAGCGACCACTAGCAAAAACAGATAAGCAGTATGCCGTATGCCTGATGAGAAGAAGGTGGTCCGAGTTGCGCTTGAAAGTCGATGAACGACACAAACTATGCGCTGGACTTAATGCCTCAGCTGGAAACAGTTTTGTCACGTCTTAAAAACTGTAAACTTCAAATGTGTGAAGGATTAGATGTGTGTGGTTTCCTGGATTCGACATTTGATGACTGGCCCAGCCCTTGAAGGCAGTCCGGCGCGGCGACCCGCCTTAAGATCTGCAAGATCCAATGTGAATAGTAGGTCATTACCTGCGCTCACCAACATCACGGCGCAGCCCCACGCCCCAGCACAGGCGCCAAGCCCCAACCCAGGCCGAGCCCCGCGCAAGGCTTGTTGCCTCAGCTCGCCAAGGCCGGCGCCTGGGAACCCGCTGGGCTCCTTGAGGCCCGGGCCCTCGTCGACACCTCCGCGCAGGGCCGGACGGGACGGGGCTTGGGGCTTGGGGCTCGGGGTGCTGCAGCTCCAGGGGTCCGGACCCCCGAAGACCACCAGGCAGTTGATCTCTGGGACCAGGATTGAGGAATGCTGCATGCGAGGAGAAGGGCCCTGCCCCACAGGGTTCAGGCGCTCCCAGCAATTCGCCTCCCAGGCAAAACAGAAGCAAAAAAAAGCCCCGGGCAAAACACAGTGCTTCCAGGTTTGGGCGCTGTTGCAACTTATGGTTCTTACGCGCGATCGGCAACGCCTCCATTCCTTTGTGATTCTGACTCTCCGGCCACATGCAACTTGAGAGCACGCCTCGAAAACAACTCAACGTCTTCTCAATAAGTCACCTGCCTTCTTCCACTTGGACTGAGCGCGCTGGTGACACTTACGTGATGCCAAGACAGAATTCCTCCCCGTTCAAGGATGTCATGCAGAAAGCTCGTGGCTCGTTTCCGTTGCGCGGTACTACTGCTTGAGCAAACAAAGCGTGGCAACTGGGTAAGCCTCCAAAAGCTGTGCGTCTCTGTGCTTTTTGGGAATGCTGGCTTGCCATCAGCAACCATTCACAGTTGAAAACATGACCCGAACATCGACTCTTGAGATTTATGATGGGGCTAGAGTCTCGGTCGCGTTCCTGGGTGCGAGGCTGGACTCTGTAGGAAAAGCAGCCAGCTTGAGCTGGCGTTCGTCAATCGCGGAGCTAGCTAGAAGGACTTCGGCCCAGCGTGGCCGACATCCTCAACATTTCGGGACCTTGTCACCAAGTACCCTGCACCCTTTCCAACAAGGCGATCTCTCTGGTCTGGCGCCAAATAGCCTTCGGGTCGAGATTTAATTAAAATGCTGTAATTTACAGCATTTTCTCGCGAAATGTACGTATTTTACGCTAGTCCGTCAACATCATCAGCATCGTTTTCAACATCCCCCGCGTGTCCAGCCAACATCCCCAGCATCACCAGCAAATTGAGGGGGGCTTGGCTTCCTACATCTTCAGCATCATCAGTTCCTCTCTGGCAAAGTAGGTAGGCCTGTCATGATGGTAAAAGTGAGGATTCAAACACGGGCAAACTAATCTCTGTAAAACACCTAAAACGTAGCGGGGGTTGGGAGGGGGCGGCAGCCCCCCTTATGATGATTGAAAAAGTGGTAGGGTGCATTTTAATCTCTGCCAAAATCCAAAAAAAAACAAAAAGTGATGATTCAATTAGGGGCAAGGGGAGGTTGGGGGGGGGGGGGCAGCAGCCCCCCCATGATGATCAAAGTAAAAAGTAGCGGGGGGTTGAGGGGGGCAGCAGCCCCCCCATGATGATTGAAGAAGTGATGATTCAATTAAAGGCGTGGGGGGATTATTAAAGGCGTGGGGGGGTTGGGGGTTGCGGCAGCCCCCCCCAGATGATCGAAAAAATGATGATTCAATTAAAAAATCTAAAAAGTAGCTGTCGCATGATGATCGAAAAAGTGATGATTCAATTAGGCGTGCGTTTTAAATCGAAAGGGGGGTGGCGGGGGGTGCCAGAGAGGAACTGGCGATGCTGATGATGCAGGAAGCCAAGACCCAAAATCAACTGGGAAAGCAAAGGATGCGAAAAGCCAATGCCAGAAAGCTGCCAGCCAAAAAGCCACCTGCCGCAGCGGAACTGGCAATGCAGAGGATGCGAAAAGCCAAAGCGCAAAACAGAGAGGAACTGTGAATGCAGAGGATGCGAAATGAGAAGCCACAAAAACCCACGTAAAAGCCACAAAAGCCAAAAAGCCGAAAAGCTGCCCACCTTGAATAAAAAAAAGAAAAGCATCCTTAAAACTGCTGGCGGTGGGTGCATGGATTGAAGGCAAGCAGGACGACCGCCTACTAGCCACAAATTGCGTCTGGCTCGATACTGATGGGATGCCTGGAGTGTTTGGTTTCCACTGAAATTGTTTCAAGTGCGTCTGCTCCCTAGATTTCTGACATCACTGCTGCTAAGGCTGCAGTTGTTCATTTGTCGCCAAGCTATGACACATATGCTTAATTGATTCCGACGCTGCCTGTCTGACCCACACGCATCCTAACAGGCTGTCCTGACTCCAGAGTATATCCAAGCAAAGATTTCTAATGAGAAACACATTGCAAGTTGAGAAGCTTGAGATTTCCTTGACGATTTCGACCAGCCCGCCGCCAAACCAACGTGCACCCTAAAATTTAAACAGCAGCGGCAGCAGCAGCATTTTGCGACCAGGTCTTAGAAACCTTCCCCTGCTTGTGAGGAGCACTTGCAGCTCCCCAGCATCTCGTAAAAATAGGCTTGCATCGGCTTCTTTGGGCTTTTGCTGGCTGTGTCTGAGCAATTGAGAACCTTACAGGGAAGCTGGAGACTGGCAAAAGCCGTACCCTTCTTTGAAAGTGAAGAGGTAACAATCTCAGGCGTTCAACAATGGAGGCGCCAAGAAGTCGCAAGAAGGAGGGCGTCGCAATGTCGAGAAACAAAGCCAACAAGTCAACAAAAATATCAACCTCGGGCTGTTACTCGCCTTCTCAGGCTGTACTTGTCACACCTGTTCACTTCTAAACGCAGCTGCTTCAAAAGTTTGCGCCTCAACTGTCAAGCCCCTTTCCACCGGCAACCCAGCCTGCAAGTCCAGACGCCAAAGGTCGGCAACTCAGCGAGAATGCAACCACAGCACGCTTTCTGGCAAGACTCCACGCGCTCCCGAAACGCCTTCCCCCCGCCCCGAGCCCCGGGCGGCACTCACCTCGGCTCGCAGTCGGGCGCCGCCCGAGACGGCCCAAGCCGCGGCCCTTCCCCCGAGGCCCAGGCCGCCGTAGCCCTCGCCTCGGCTCGGTGCCCGGCGCAGTTTGTCGCGAGGAGCCGCTCCCGGGGCCCCGGGCCGCCGTGGACGATCATCGCCCCCCCGCCGGCAGTCGGGCAGTAGGTGGCCGTGTGGCCAGCCCGCGGCTCTGGGGCCTCCCCCGTGGGGGACAGCGGAGTCCAGCTGGTGGCCTCCCAGCTCTTCTCTTCCAATGTTTCTTCTTTGGCAATCTTTCTGAATAGGTGCATTTGTTTGGCACTTCTAATGGCACGGCTCCGTGGGAAGCAGGCCATAACGCACCGACGTGGGCGAAAATCGAAAACAAGATGTTTCCAGCTGGTGTAACACGATTCCCGCGTTCCAATTACACTTGTCGCTCCACCTGCAACTAGCCTGCAAATGGTTCTGCCTTCAAGCGCGCAACTGCGAGATTCTACCTTTGGCCCAGCCTCGGCGTTCAGCTTCCACAGGTCATTGACTCGGCTTGACAGAAACGCAGGCGCACCGCTCTGCAGCGGCATTAAATTGGATCAGAAGACAGAACATGGACTTGTGGGGTCCAGACTTGACAAGAATTGCACAAATTTTGAGAGTCCAGGCAATTGGTGTATGCAAGCAGGTACCTTTATGCGGTCAGGAACCTTGGAGAACTGATTTGTGTGTTGCCTTTTCATGCTTTTTAGAATTCAGCCCAGAAATTTCGAAAACACATACTTTATAAGAGTTTTAGAGTTGCATTCTAAATTGTTCAAACAAAAAGGTTACTGTTTAGATGTTTAGAGTTCCAGAAGGTCTCAGCCCGGGCTGGGACGCCTGATATGTATATAGAGGTTAGATTGGAATGTAGATTTGAAGCATAAAGCAAGCTGAACATTCTATATTTATTTATATACAAATCCCGGACAAATCAGCACGGAACCCCAAAATGCCGGGAGATTCCTCTACAAATGAAACTTTGGGGCTTCGTGTTGATCTGCAAGAGAGTGCTTCCCAGACTGAAAACAAGAAAACACTGGAAATACCATCAGGTGAGCTTGTCCCCTCCGATGTTCTGAAAATCAACACCGCCGAATGGGGTGGAAGTCCAAACGGGTCTGTTGGATTCAACCGACCCAAGCTGGAAAACTGGATAAGGGGCAACCGCACTTCCATTCCCACTAGCCAATTTTAACTGACAATTCTCAAGCCGATCCAGATTTTGACCTGCGAGCCTTGCCTTTTGTGAGCTTTCGACTCAAACATTGTAATTTCAAACATTGCCTTTCCAATCCTTGCCCTTCAACAATGATCACTTTGAAGCCGTGCCTTCCAATTCCGACATAAAAGCCTTGTCAGTTAAGAGTCCTATTCAAACATGCTCAGTTCAAAATGCGTTTGTCCAATGCTGGGTGAACAAGTCTAATCAATCTGAGCCTTTTGCTCAAAACACTGTTTGAACAAGGAGCCATATATTTATATGTGTGATTGTCAGTTGTTTTGATCAAATGGACATGTTGCAAAGAAGTAAAAGAAGTTGCGGCAAGCCTACGAGAAAACGGAAATCCTAGAATTAAGCAAACTAACCAAAAACAAAAGAAATTCAAGAGTGCAGTCTCGTTATACCAGCGTGTAGATCAGAAGCGCATTCCCAAGGAGCCCCTTCACCACCCCGGGCACGGCCGAGCCCCGGGCAGAGCTTCCGGCCACCAACGCCTGGGGCTCGGTGCGCTTCAGCCGCGGCCGGCGCCCCCGCCACTCCCCGAGGCCCGGTCCATCTCTACCGCCTCGGCGCGGCGCGCGTGGACTGCTCGGGGCGCGTGGCGCTGCCCCGGGCCCCGGGCCGAAGATCAGCACCGCGCCGGCTCGCTCGCGGACCGCGGAGTGGCCACGTCGCGCTGCGGGGCCACCTCCCGCCGTGGCTGGCTGCCAGCGCCCGTCTGGGCCCTCCTGCCAGCAGCGAAAGCGGCCCTGAGTCATCCAAAATGTGAGTCTTGTTGGCAGAACCGCAAGAAACAAACACACAGCTTGTGTAAAAGGTCTATGAAACAAGGCGCAGCACAAATCCACATGCGCATCTGTGCGAAAGTCACTCGAACCATGAATTGTTTGGGACTGACTGTTGCCAACCACCTTCTGGAGAATCTTCCATCTCTGAATGAGCTCCTGTTCCGGGACAAAAACATGGTGACATTCCACTTACAGCACCACCAGCTACAATCAGAAATTATAAGTTGTTTAATCGGTTGTTCACGGTTGTTCACAATTCGTTCTGCTGAGGTCCAATCGCCGAAACAAACAATGAACTGTCAAATGACAACCATGGCGGTGCCCAGCTCAAGTCTCCGCAACTGCTTGGCTTAACGGCGCCCTCCCTCTAATTCTTTTTGATAATGCGGCCACATGCCCAAATACCCAATGAGGCAAGAATACAGTGTTCGATGATAAAACAACACTTGCAAACAAACAAACAAACAAACAAACAAACAAACAAACAAACAAACAAACAAACATGCTTTAGGGTAGGCTTTGGGGTTGGTGTACGCGGTGTGGGGTGGGTCTGGTGTGGACTGGCTCAAATCAGGTGGGGTTTGAAGCTGGCTTCAGCCTCGCTTAAGGGTGTGTGTGATTTCAGATTGGTTTGGGCACAAACTACTACACACCGCGAAGCAATGCCGAAGCCACACGAGCTAGATGTTTGCAGGGGTGTCCATTGGCTGCTGCAGTGTGGTGCTACTTTTAGACTTGCAGTTTTGCTTCAGTGCCAACTGCCGCCACTCAACTACTAGTTTAGTTTTAACTTGAAAAATAAACAGCTTTCCTCGAACAACCCTGCGCAGTTTTGGGCCATTTTCTAGGGGACCAAAGTGGAAGCCCCTGGACCTTTTGGGACCCTGTTGACAAATGTGTAGCTGCCCTTGAAATTATCATACTTAGAGGGAGTCGGGCTCGCTATTTATGTAGCACTCGGGGAAGCGATGAGTGAAACACGTGCTGTGGACATCCCCCAAACTGCCAGTTTCCATCGGCAACCCAACCTTGATCATAAATCTCCACACATCGTTTCCTCAGCACCACAGCTGAAGCTCCAGACTATAAGACTCAACAGAGACACGCAAATGACAGAGAGCGGCACAGTCAAGACTCCTCACGGGCGCCGCGCTCTTGCACAGTGTCTGAGCCCCGTGCGGCCGCCTCGGTTTGTGGAACACTCCTCTTCAGCCACGGGAGGCCAAGGCGCGGCTCACCGACCCTCCGGCGCTGCCCCGAGGGCCCGGCGACCATCAACCAAGCCTCAACTTCCGCGCCATGCGCCCGGGGGCTCGAGGGCTCTCTGGGCGCTGCTCCGAGGGCCCGGCCCCCGAAGACCAGGATGGAGTCCGTCGAGGCACAAAACGTGGCGCTGTGGCCACGTCGCGCAGGTGGAGCCGCCCCCGCCGGCTTCAGGAGCTGCCATCTCTGCTCCTGCGGCGCGGGAAGAATGGTCTAAAAGCTGCTTGAACGCCCGTCTTATTCGGTAGACAGTTTCAGGTCTGGCCGCGCTGCTGCGCTTCAATGTTTAATGTTTGGCGCTGCATGCCAAGACAGAACGACGCTTGGCCTGTCAAAGGAAACTACTCAACTCCAAAGGAATGAACAAACAGGTATCATGATGTGCTGAGAGATGCTGGACGCATGCAGTCAAGTCTGTTTTTGGCCTAGAAACTTTTCGATTGCGCTGGAGGCATGATGGCAGCTCTTAGCTGACTGAAAAGCATTGATGTTTCGGACAAACAATGCCAGTTGTACGACATCTGGTGTGAGACCCTTTGCGGACTAATGTGAGAACACTGCCTTGTTGGAATGGATTGGGCCCGAGGATATAAGCGAACTTTCTTTGCATGGCGCCATGTCCCGCAATCTCAACGTCCAGATTCATAGGGTCACTCGAAGAGGAGCGAAGAAAGATCCCAGCCTGTGTTGGGCGCAAGAACAAGGCATTTGCAACTAAGCCTGTTCTGGGGGCCAGGGAGATCGACACGCTCCTGTTTCCCCGAGAATGCGCTGGCAAGGTTCGTTGAGTGAGAGCAGCATGATGCGGTCGGCGACATCTACTGATCGAAAAAAAACCGCCTGAAGGGGGATGAAGGGGGAATGGGGGGTTTCGGGGGGGGCAAGAGAGCCATGATTGCCATCCCACCGGCATGAATGGATCTGAGGTGGCAAGAGACGTTGAGGGCAGCAATGCACAAGTTGTCACAGTTGCAATGCAGGTACTCACAAGTAAACGGCGGTCACGAGTCAGAGGCAAATCTCAACATTGAGACAGGCCAGAAGCAAGATCTGCAGACGATGACTGTGAAGATGCTGGAAGAGCTGACTGGATCGCCGGGGTCAATTTGTGTAGACATCCACAGCCGTACTGGGCAGGACAGGAGAGCAGATCGGCATCCCAGCAAGCCAATGAGAGACTCCGTCAAGATGGCGCAGAGTGGAGAGCTTCACTGGGCGTAGCCAGGCCCTCCGGCCTTGAAGCGGCCGTGGAGAGGCGCCGCCAAAGCACCCAACGGCTCCAAACAAACTTCACTGAAACAGTCAATTGGCATTGTTTCCATGGAACTGGCAAGGCAGTGCTGGCGCAAACAACAATTTGAGAAGTAAGTCGGGCAACAATCGCACGGAGTGAACAACGACAAACGAACAAGGGGTGTGCGATGATCGGCTGCTGAGCCCTCTTTGGAAATCAAATGTCGCCACATGTTGGCTTTCTGACCTGTCTGGTCGTATTTGTTTCTGTGGAATCAAGTTTTGAGTATGTACGAGTATAAGTTGTTCCCTACAAAGCTGTTCATCAAGAATTGAGTATCGTCGAAAGTCCTGTCTGAAGACTTGGAGAGAACCCAAGGCTAGGACAAGAGACTTGCCAGGAAAAGTATATTGAATTTCTGCCTGCAACCTAGAACTCGTGGAGACCTGTCTCCCAGCGATACTCGGTGTTTGGGCGGCGGACGCAGGTGGTTCCGTAGAAAGCGAACACATTCAACAACAGCCCAGCCTGGAAGTCCAAACGCCAAAGGTCGGCAACTGAGCGAGAATGCAACCACAGCACGCTTTCTGGCAAGACTCCACGCGCCAAATCTGTTCACAGCGCGGGCGCACACCGTCCCTCCCGAAACGCCTTCCCCCCGCCCCGAGCCCCGGGCAGAACTCACCTCGGCTCGCAGTCGGGCGCCGCCCGAGACGGCCCGAGCCGCGGCCCTTCCCCCGAGGCCCAGGCCTCTGTTGTAGCCTCGGCTCGGTGCCCGGCGCAGTTTGTCGCGAGGAGCAGCTCCCGGGGCCCGGGCCGCCGAAAACGATCATCGCCCCGCCGCCAGCAGTCGGGCAGTAGGTGGCTGTGTGCCCATACAGCGGCTTGGGGGCCTCCCCCGTGAAGGACAGCGGAGTCCAGCTGGTGGCCTCCCAGGCAGCCAAGACCCCCCACATTCCGTGGAAGGCCCTTGCAATCTTTCATGAGACAGCTGCATAGCACCCCGGCCGTCTCTTGATTGATGTGACATTTGCTCCGTCAACAAGGCACCAGCATTTTCACTCGGACTGACGCTGTTGAGCGGCCCGCGCCTGAGCCATCTTAGCGCAGCGAGTGTCCGTGACACTCGGTCGCAAATGGGCAGCGCGATCTCTGGAGTGGCCGCGGAAGGCACCGTTGGCACATGCTTGTCTGCCAACACACGCACAAATCAAGGCATGGCTGCACATAACATTCCGACTGGCCCACTCTTCTTTGCTCTTTTACATTCCAGCAATCCTCCTCTGCGCAAGGCTTCACCAGCTATCTGGGAAACTTCCGCCAAAGCCAGTGCACCAATACTGCACAGCCTGCAGAACTGAGATGGCCTCCTGGGCAGTTCGACTCTTTGGAAACTCAGATCGCCACCCAACTGCAACAACATGCTCACGTTGGCCACACAAGTGAAAGTAACGGACCTTCTCCACAACGTCCCGGCACCTCTGTTTCCTACAGCGACGGCCTGCGGGCATGAAATGCACCCATGCTGCTCCTCACTAAAGCAGAGTATGTTCAGGCAGGATATACGCATGCGTAACATTATTTCTGTTCACCCGCCAAAACTTTCACTGGTTCATGCACTGCTTGTCACTGACACTGTCCTTGAAACCCTAGCGCTTGCAAGACGTCGAGGCGTGGCGGCACTTGGCGGCACTTGGAGCATCAGCCTGGCTGCAAATGAGCCAAGAGGTGACAGCTTGTGATTGGCATGAATAGCGGTCCCCAAAGCCGCTTGTTTGTTGCATTCTACTCTCAAATGCATACTACGAAATTCTGCAGGCAAAGGAAGACCCCAGTCATGCGGCAAACAGACCGAGCGGCAACCTGCTGGGTTACTAGACTTGATGCCCCTCATTTCGTTCTGACTGCCAAGCCATCCCTGCTAGTCATGGCAGCCAGACTCATCGGCACGTGCATCCCAGATTGCGACGCACAGTAGGTTCAATCTCGAGCAGTCTCCAAAGCAAAACAGGCAAGGAGACCCGTTCTGCAATGCCGCGGATTCAAGCGCATCAGTTCTCAAATTGAGTGCCATCCAGCCTTGTGGCTGGCTGGCAGATTCAAAGGCTCATGCCCACCTGCAACGTGCTGAAAGGCAAACAGCTGAAGTTTCCCACACACAACCAGCCAACCGACCGACCGGCCGGCCGACCGCACAAACCCACCAACCCACCAACCACCAACCCATCCACCCATCCACCCATCCACCCATCCACCCATCCACCCACCCGCCTGCCAGGCAGCCAGCCAACCAACCAACCCATCCACCCATCCACTCGCCAGCCAGCCAACCAACCAACCCATCCGCCCATCCACCCGCCAGCTAGCCAACCAACCAACCAGGCGCGCCAGGAAACCAACAAGCAACAGCTCAATTTGTCGAAAATTTCAGCGTTGCACTAGGGCTGCTTCCAAGAGCATTGTAGCGCGCAACCGACGAACAAGCAAAGCGCGCGTCCAAAACAATTTGTTGCACAAGCTTTCGTGACTGTCATGTCCGTAATATTGTAACATAGAATGAGAAGTCAGCCTCAGGTTCACTTGGGTCTCCTCCAACATGCGCACGACGCTCCGCACCGACGACACAAACTTTAAGGCACGCAAAGATGCAGGGACCAACTTGAACAGCGCAAGGTAACCGTAGACCTGGTCTTGTCATAGCGCGCTGCCAGCGGGACATCACCTTCTGGACCTCTTTCAAGCGTGCAGCAGGTCATGCCTCAGTGGCAAGGCAGAATAGCTCACCAAAGGCGCAAAGGCAAGCCAAGCTCTCTGCATCGCCCGAGGATTTTCCAAGGTGAGTTGCGTGATGCATTGACGTGGGAGGTTTGCAGTTGGCATGCGCCAAGTTTCTCAACATGGACTAAAACACGACCTTTCAGGCCAACGAAGCGCAGCCTCAGCCTTCACGGCCACCTGACACCTCCAGCCTTTTGGGCTCCTGGCGCCGGGGCGCAAGTGCAGTCCGGTCTTAGCGTCGGAGAGCTCCGCAAATGCCTACCAACAATCTCCCTTCGGGGCGCGACACCGGATTCGGCGTTTCAAGAGACTGGCACAAAGTAAATGGGTCAAGCGTGGCGCCTCCAACGTGTTGCTTGCAATGCGTCCCGTCGAGTGCTCTTGCTTGTGCAAAGCCTGCAGCCGAACAACCCCTGGTTTCACAAAAAGAGCGACTTCTGGCCTACCAGACTTCAAAGGCATCGGCGATGAGTTCTTGGGAACTCGCCGGTCAAAACCTTTGAGAGCGGGTGGGTGTGGGTGGGTGTGGGTGGGTGTGGGTGGGTCTGGGTGGGTGTGGGTGGGTCTGGGTGGGTGTGGGTGGGTGTGGGTGGGTGTGGGTGGGTGTGGGTGGGTGTGGGTGGGTGTGGGTGTGTGTGGGTGGGTGGGTGTGGGTGGGTGTGGGTTGGGGGTTGGGGGTGGGTGGGGGTGGGTGGGGGTGGGTGGGGGTCGGTGGGGGTGGGGGTGTGGGTGTGTGTGTGTGTATGTTTGTGTGTGTGTGTGTGTTTGTGTGTGTGTGTTTGTGTGTGTGTGTGTGTGTCTGTGTGTTTGTGTGTGTGTGTTTGTGTGTGTTTGTGTGTTTGTGTATTTGTGTGGTTGTGTTTGTTTGTGTGTTTGTGTGTGTGTGTGTGTTTGTGTTTGTGTTTGTGTGTTTGTGGGTTTGTGTGTTTGTGTGTGTGTGTGTGTTTGTGTGTGTGTGATTGTGTTTGAGTGTTTCGGTTTGTGTTTTGTCTGTGTGTGTTTGTGTGTTTGTGTGTTTGTGTGTTTGTGTGTTTGTGTGTTTGTGTGTTTGTGTGTTTGTGTGTTTGTGTGTTTTGTGTGTGTGTGTGTGTTTCTGTGTTTGTGTGTTTGTGTGTTTGTGTGTGTGTGTGGGTGTGCTTGTGTTTATGCTTGTGATTGTGTTTGCGTTTGCGTTTGCGTTTGTGTTTGTGTTTGTGTTTGTGTGTTTGTGTTTTTGTGTCTGTGTTTGTGCGTGCGTGTTTGTTTGTGTGTGTGTGTGTTTGTGTTTGTGTTTGTGTGTTTGTTTGTGTGTGTGTGTGTGTGTTTGTGTTTGTGTTTGTGTTTTTGTTTGTGTGTGTTTGTGTTTGTTTGTGCGTGTTTGTGTTTGTGTGTGTGCTTGTGTGTTTGTGCGTTTGTGTGTGTGTTTGTGTGTTTGTGTGTTTGTGTGTTTGTGTGTTTGTGCGTGTGCTTGTGTGTTTGTGTGTTTGTGTGTTTGTGTGTTTGTGTGTGTGCGTGTTTGTGTATTTGTGTGTTTGTGTGTTTGTGTTTGGGTGTTTGTGTGTTTGTGTGCTTGTGTGTTTCTGTGTTTCTGTGTGTGTGTGTGCGTGTGCGTGCGTGCGTGCGTGCGTGCGTGCGTGCGTGCGCGTGCGTGCGTGCGTGCGTGCGTGCGTGCGTGCGTGCGTGCGTGCGTGCGTGCGTGCGTGCGTGCGTGCGTGCGTGCGTGCGTGCGTGCGTGCGTGCGTGCGTGCGTGCGTGCGTGCGTGCGTGCGTGCGTGCGTGCGTGCGTGCGTGCGTGCGTGCGTGCGTGCGTGTGTGTGTGTGTGTTGGTGTGTGTTGGTGTGTGTTGGTGTGTGTTGTTGTGTGTTGTTGTGTGTTGTTGTGTGTTTTTGTGTGTTTTTGTGTGTTTTTGTGTGTTTGTGTGTTTTGTGTGTGTGTGTGTTTGTGTGTGTTTGTCTGTGTGTGTGTGTGTGTTTGTTCTGTGTGTGTGTGTGTTTGTGTGCTTGTGTGTTTGCGTGTTTGTGTGTTTTGTGTGTGTGTGTGTGCGTGTGCGTGCGTGCGTGTGTGCGTGCGTGTGCACGTGTGGAAGATGATTCCAAAGGCCACCCTCAGATGGACGCAGAGTGGCAATGATTTCGAGAAATATATATCAGCATCACCAGCTTCTATGATGTCTCAGACATAGCAATGGTTGGCTCATTGCTGCAAGGGATACGTAACTAAGTCGGCCTTTGGCGTCACATGAAACGAAGCTGGAAAATGAAACGCACAAAACCTGTTCAGCGCTGAACACCTGCACATTTCGACGCAAAAGTGTTTTTGTTTGAAAGATCGGCGCCTTGTCTGAACTATGTGCAGCCTGGAAAGCTAAGTAAATGCTATGTAGAATGCTCAGCAAGGTCTACCTGCAAGAATTGTGCATGTTGCCTTCTTGATTTATCTGGGATTGTGCCCTCAAAAAAGAACAAAACGCAGAATTGGGATTGTGTCTTGGATATCTATATTGTGTAAGCAAACAAATTTGCGCGTAGGAACTGATTCCATGGTGGGATGACAAAACTTGAATGGGGCAATATGGAGCCTTTCAGTGTCTACATCTGACATGCTTGTAGAGTATACACATGTGAAGCTTATCCAGAAAGCAGCGCAGGATGAAATTACGCAAGCAAAACTGCGGTGTTGACATGGGTCATAAAGTCGGGTTGCATCAGCAAAATCAGCACAACCTGCCAACGCGGCCCGAGGCACATGCAACGTCAGCTTGTAAACCAATGTGCTATGGTCACGCCTTTATAACCTTGGAGATTGAACTGTTATGATATTGTCTTTCATGCTCCTATGAGTGGGCTAAATATCTATACCATTCAAGTCCAAAGATAAAGTAAACATATGGACTATGAGTCATTAAGTTGTAGTTTCTCACCGAATGATGTCTGTGTCACGTGTATCCCGATAGGAGGCTTGCAAATAACACGAGACATTCTTCGCCAAATGCCTGTGAGAAGTTTGTGGCGATCTTTGCCCCCTTCGCCACCAGGGCTGGGAGCACCTCAGAAATTCACCGAAGCCAGGTCGACATGCCGCTGGGGATGGGCAGTTAGCTTCAGCGTGAAGCTTGTGAAGCCTGGCATGGCCGAATGACTCACAAGCCCCGAATGATGTGAAGCAATGAGTTGTTGTGCAAAGAGGAGCCTCTCACCAAGGCCGAAAGACCATGGGAGGCTGAGCCACAAAGGCTGAGGACAAGCTCAAGGGTGCAGTGGCCAAACTGCGCACCGTGAATTCATGGAACTCCGCTGCCGCGCGCAGCGCTACTTTTGCGTCCGAATTTGCGACGCTAGGTTGCATCAGCCTTCGGTCGCCCGTTGCGCCTGCATCTGCGCGTAGAGCCTCAGACCCGTCAGATGAACTTGAGTGTCTTGACAGCCCCTCGCCTCAAGATCTTGACACACATCACGAATCGGTCCCGGTCCACGACCGTTCCCTGGCAAAATCGTGACAGCGAAGTCTTCGTGGAACACAGCAACAAGACTAGGCTCAGAATGAAACATCACCAGTCTCCGAAGGCTCAATGCCAGAGCCAAAGTATGCAGATCCAAATGTGAAAAAGGCAGCGCTTCATCAGCTTCCACATCTTCCCGTGTTGGATCCTTCTGCGAGGATGAAAGCTCGCAGGACACGAGCAGAGTCTGCCCAGAGGAAAGCAATCAAAGATCCGGTGCATAGGTTACCAATGCTGTTGTCGAGGCGCGATGCGAGAACATCCCACGAGTTTCTGCAAAGTCGCTTTTTCTCACCTAGCTGGGCAAGCACAAACTGAGCGGGTCCCGAAATTGGGTAAAGTAGGTTCTCACTCGAACTCCTCCAGCCAAATGCTTCAAGACCGGACCTTTCAAACCGGCCTCCAGCAGGAATATGCTCGGTTCGCCATTCCGGAAGGTCAGGACAGCCAACCTGCGGCATGATGAGATTGAATAAATGCTTTGCATCTTGTACACGAATGCGCACCTGTCAGCCTCTGCTTTGGAGATTGCCTCACGCTGACTCAAATGAAGGCGAAGAAAAATGTGGCATCTACGCCTGAGAAACGCCAGCATCCGCATCCACAACATCCTGGTACGTTGATTGAGGCAAATATATGTCAGCTCAAAATCAGACTGGTCATAAAATCAAAACATCCTTATTGTGCCGGCTGGACACACACACACACACAACACACACACACACACACCTTGATGTTTTCCACGCGGATGCTTGCGAGCACCGTTTCGGGAGTTTGAGGTCGCTTCAGCATCATCCTGCGGAGAGCCACTTGCCAAAAAAGAGACTTCAGCCACTTGCCAAGCAAACCTGCCATGTGTCATTCTCGATCATGCCCCAGCCTCTGGATCTGGGGATCCAGAAAGTATGCAGCCTCCTCCGTCTGTCCTGACAAATTGTTCACCGCCCACGAAAGCGTCAATGCGCTCAAGCGGCCTGTCTTCGGGTCCAGTACCCGGCACGGCACTCCGCGGATGGCGCACTTGGCAAAGTCCTAGCCGGACTTTCGGCTTTTGCTGGATTCGACATCCCTAAAGTGAGACTCATCTCAGCACAAGAAAACAACACTCGAACAGGGATCCTTACATTCTACACCTGAACATTGCCTTGTAAATGGTGGTTTCCCTTTGTTCTGGTGGAAAAAAACATGTTTCAAATGGGCAAAATGTATCTTTTAAGGAGCGCTGTCGAAATTGATGGGATTTGGGGCTTCCTCTTTTTGGCGATCAATGCCATCACGACACGAGGGGCCCTTCTCCTTCACGAACTCCTGGAGTCGCGCCTTCTCTGGCGGTGTGCTAGCCTAAAGCCCCATTGACCCGCGACGCATTGGGGGAGTCTGGGGGCCACGCACATGACACGCGCATCACACATCCACCATGGATCTTCCATAAACGAAGCCCAGAGATTTTTTTTGTGCACAGGAGGGCTTCCACGCCTTCCAGTGCCGAGACTTGAACATCTGACTGAGCTGCCCGCATGCTTCTTCTCCTGAGGCGCCTGCCCACATTTTTCAACTCATCAGACATCTTGCCGTCCATCTCCGTAACCGGAGATTCCGCGGAGAGTTCGGCCCAACCTTTGCGGCCACGAAGTTCTCCTCCCCTTTGTCAATGTGGTCACACCTCGAATCTCCGGGCATCTTCCAAGCGCTCGCGGCTCGTGAACTGCGACTTGCGGCTAGGGCCCCGTCACACAACATTCTGGAAAGGTGATCATCACGGCCCGGGCCCACCAGGCCCACCAGGCCCACCAGGCCCACCAGGCCCACCAGGCCCACCAGGCCCACCAGGCCCACCAGGCCCACCAGCCATATGGGCTGCGTTCAACTTCAATGCATCCGAATAACTCCCCATCGCAAGAGACCGACGGATTCTTTCTCGCTGGGCGGCTGTCTAAAGCGATCCGCGAAGTCTGTACACTGCGAATTCTGAACGCGTCCGAAGCTGCGAATTCGGGGGGATGCTTTTAGTATTCGGCGTGACAGCTGCTGTTCTGCTTACATCTTGTATATTGGCCCTGTAAGACAGATAAGAGCTACTGGTCGATCTCAAAGTGCACCTGGCAGAAACGCCCATGAGAAACTGATGAGGCCAACAAGCGAGCAACTCGTGCAAAGAGGGGGGACATGATCATTGCACGAGTGGATCAATTGTCAATCTTTCAAGCTTGCTGGAGATCTACTGAGCTGGTTGTCTCTCTGTTCGAAGCCTTCATCCCAAAAGTAATGTTCCTCTAAACGGCATTCTATTTTGGGTTCCATGCTACTCTAGCACCGCGACATGATTCTGCAGGGGGAAGTGTGACAGGGAACGATGGCTTGCGGCACGAAGCGAAACTGGATGCTGCATGATGAACATTCTGGAAGTTTCAGCAAATTCCTGGATGACTTCGGATACTGGGTGTTCGAAGTGACTCTCAATGATGCAGATTCATGCTGACCAAGCTATGTAGCACCACAAAGAATATACTCTGAAAGCATCTACAGCACATTGGGCTAGATGATGGAGACAATGCAGATTGATACATTGACATAGCAAAGCCGGCACTGACGCAGCATGATGCAGGGATGTGCACGATGCAGAAAGATGAAAGATGCAGAACTATGCAAATAACAATGAACGTGCGGTATGACGGCATGACACAGCTGATCCGGGAACAAATGCACACAAATGCTCGTTCATGGCTTGCAGTGATGCAGGATGATTCAGAACGATGCAGGATAAGTGAGAAAGTCATCTGCATTGAATAGCTACATGTATAACCTGTGGGAGAGCCCTTACTTTTCTGGGTTGAATGACATCCGCGTAGAATCCGACGCGCTTCAGAGTACAGGTGAGAATCCGCTTGTGAAATCAATGACCCAAAGATCCTCCAACCCAAACGGTTCGCAGATGACCCAAACACCCTGATGCTCCCACGTTCACCGCATTTCTCGAGCACTTCTGTAAGGCTTCCCCCCACCTGCTTCATCCTGGAGAGCGCTTGGAGCCTGGGCAAATGCAGCGAATTTGGGAAGTGACGCATCGTTTCAAGACATTGCCTTTTGTTGAGGGAACCCCCAGAAGACGTAGCTTCCTGGTTTCCCTTTTGACATCACCCAAAAAAGGTACCCTGAAAAAAGACGCCCCCCCCCCCCATATTGAACAAAAAACGCCTGCCGCAACCATTGCACCCCGTCGCCTTCGTTGGATGGGCGTGGGATGCGTATAAGGTGCAGGGCTGACCTGGAGACCAGGAAGACTAAGACAGTCCCAAAGCGTCCTTCTGAACTTCTGAAGCCGGGTGCACTTTGTGTGTCAAAGCATGTACTGGCATGTGCTGCACTGCCTTCCTAAAGACACGTCTTCTGGGGGAAACCCGTTCTTCTGACTTCAAAGGGAAACCAAAGGGAAACCAAAGGTTCTTCTGTTTTGATTTCCTAACCCTTTCTGTTTTCTGTTGTCTTTGGGAGATCCCCTTGGCTTCCTAAAGACAAGCTCACATCTCCGCCTCGAAGCCCTCGGCCTGGGCTTTGGGGTTTCTCGGTGTCTCGGAAACTCTCGCTCCGCAGATCGCTTCGTTTTCCGGTCCCGAAATTCATCGCTTCATCGCTGCATCGTTCTGCGCGGAAAGGGAAGTCCGCAAACTCAATGCCCAGAAGACACCATGCACATGCCTCATGGGCGGCCAACCGGCGATGTTTGTCAAGCCTACTTCAACTTCTGAATACTGACTTCGACATTCTGCTGAAGTCTAGATGCTCTGCTGGAGCATTTGAGCAGTGTCTTTTGTGGTGTGGGGGGGGGTATCCACTGGGAAGCCTACGCCAGGGCCTTCGCAGGGCCGAAAATTTCTAAGGGTCGCCTTCACGAGGCTTCGCGGCTTAGCGAAGTGGCCCGAGTGAAGCAATTGGCCATCGCAAGGGGCTTTAGCCTCCGTGGCACACCATGTACCACACAAGTGCCTTCACAGCTCTTTTGGGAATTCCCAAGAAGCTAAAATCGTTCTGAAAGAAACAAGACACCAACGCTGCTGAATGAGAACGCGGCCTCTGGCAATAGCGTCTCGTCCGTTCGGGCACTTGCATCGCCGGACTGGCACTCCTGACAGCTCCATGCTGTTTTTGTTGGTGCGATGGAGGAATCTCATCGAACGGCAAGTCGCACAGTCGCAATTGCCACGGTGGAATGTGTGTTTCTCAAAATAGGGGTCACCTCCTAGTTTTGGCTTCCAACATTTTGAGAAACCCTACTGGCTAAGCTCGCTGCGGGTTGCACCTTCGACACGCAACGACGCAACGACTCAACGCTTCTGAGAAGCATCCCGGAGCAGCGTCCTGCGGGTCTTGCTCCTGCGCCGAAGCTCGAGAATGCCGTGGCTTCATGAATCCATGGGATCACTCTATGGCAAAAATGCCAGGGTGGCAAAAAGGAAGGGCAAAAAGAGTCAGATGTGCCCTTCTGGGCGAAATTGCTTTTCCACGAGGAAGACCTCCGATAGCTGTTTCAAAGAGTATTTTTGCCAATTGAAGGCACTTGCGGGTGACATTTCCAGCTGCCTGCGCGCCCCTCGCAACTGGCTCGAGGGTGTATGGCCTCAAGAGAGAGTCAGATACGTCACAAGTGCACCGAGTTCTGTTCAAGGCGCCGTCCAAATGGTTGTCATGGTGCTCTGCGTCCAGAGCCATCCACAAACGCGGGTCCCCGGTTTTGACACATTCCCATGGAATACTTCGATCCATCTGTATTGGTGAATCCTCTGGGCCATCGACCTGTACACAACTGGCTCGATCATCCTGGCCATCTGACTTAGATTTCGGCAGATCTGTGGACTCCAAAGTAAGGTTCACGCTGCATTCAGCTTGAACAAAATTGTGAGACCATGAAACAAGCCAGATGGTCACCCTCTAAACAGCAGAAAATTCAAGGCGAAGGACGACATCCATTCGGCTCATGGCTTGGCTGTGCTCCATTTTTGCTTGCAAGCAAGACCCTTCACACACGTCCTCGTGCAGGAACTTGTCTGTTGCCTGAACTGAGTCTAAGAGAGCCGCTCTTGTATTCAAATCGAGCTATCTGATAGGAAAGCAAACTGCCACAAAGATTCCAGACTCAAAATGCATACGGAACACGCCTGCCGCGTTCCGTGGAGGGGCTCCTGCAATTCGAGCTGTGAGGTTTCAAGCCATTCGAGGTAAGCCGTCACAACTCATGGGAGCCCAGTGAGTGGCTAGATGCAAATCGCAAGGAAAACGGGATGACATGGTTAGCTTGTGCTTCCCAGGTTCGGCTGAAATGCGACTTGCATCGCGCCTTGATCTGAGCCGCGGTGGCTCCAGCCACACCCTCGCGACGCGCGCGCGCGCGACTTGAAGATGACGAGGTCTCAGCGTCTCACTCTCAAAGGAAAGCGTTTGTTTCTTATGTCGGGGCGGGCACCTCAGCCTCGACGCTTTTCCCTCTTGACACTTGCAAAATCTTGCAAAATACATCCCTGGAACTTCGCTGGATCGCCAGCACGAGTCTCTGCCCCTGCCTCTGTGTGCGCTCAGCAGAGGGGGTCCTGCGACTCCAGCGCATGCACACCCACAAGAGGGCAACGAAAGCCAAACCAGTCCGGTTCGCCCACGATGCGGATTTGAGATACTCAGACTTAATTTTTGCTCGATGTTGGCGCCGGGTGTTCCGTTCCCGTTTTGAGGAAACCCACTGCCTTCTTTTGGGCACCCGTCTTCTCGGGACGCCCGTTTCGCCAGGCCTTGAACGCTCGGATGGGCGCCGGGCTGGAGTAGGCAGCTCCTCCTAGCCAATTGACACGACTGGATCACGAAAGCAAAGCTCGCGTGCGTGTTCAAAGTTGGCACTGTCTCCCGTCAAACTGACACTTGTCAAGTTGTTTGTCTTCACACGTAGTGCCCGGATTTCCCACGCCTCTCCCCGGTTTGCAGCCAGGCGCTGGCGCATCTTGGCCAGCCGCAAGCTGGCGGCTTCCAGAGGCACGGCTCCTTTCGGCACCTCCAAGCTGCACTTCGGCTGTCAAGGGCGATTCAAAATGGCGCTCTTTCCCTGGTTGGGCTTTTTCCCTTTGGTTTCACTTTTGAACTGCCCCAAAAGGGTGCCCCTCAAAAGGCGACACACTTGGACAAGGGAAACAAGCGTGGAACTGCGGATTCTCGGCTTGGGGAGGCAACTCGGGCGCCTCGCGCCGCCTGCCCTCCGCGTCCGCCAGGCGCTTCTGGAGGTCTTAGGCAGTCGGTTCAGCGTCACATGCGCCAGGGCCCTCACAAGGCGCCCTGCGGCTGATCTCATCCAGCAAGTCATCCACAAAAGTGGAGAGCCTGCAAGCATGAGGCTGTGGCTCAAAAACCGGAACCCTGGTAAGTGGAAACATGGACCAAAACCTGCCTAACCCCCCCTGTTTAATTTTGAGCCACATCCATGAAGCAAATGAGAGAGATGAAGCTTCAAAGTGCGCATGCTCGCAGTGAAGCATCCATGCAGTCCAGCTCAAGTAATGAGCCTTTCTGGGTCGAGCATGTGCTGCTGCACCGTGAGCTGCTGCATGTGCTGCCTCGGCTTCTGACACTGGATGCAAGTTCCAACGACCGAGTCAGCCACACCGAGCCCACGACTTGTTGAGTGCTTGCAGCTGTTCCTGGTACTCCTCCTGCCTAAGGCCCAATTGCAAGGGGGACAAAGGCCAAGCGCGAAAGCCCGGGGGATGAACACTGTGGGGTTTTCAGCAATTCAGAATCCAAACATAACAACCACAAGACAAGGCCACAGAGAGGCCAGTCTCAGCATCACACATGCTCTGGCTCTGGCTCTGACTGGGGCAGCGACATATTCTCAAGCTGCTGCTTGTGCAAGATGCACCTCATTTGTGTCTTTTTCTCAATGCACCGTGGCCTGCCCCACAAGGAGGGCATTACTTCTGCCAAAAGATCGGACACTCTCTGATTCGCGCATTGGGATGGCTGCTCAGTTCAGTTTCCAAATTCCATTCGGCCCCAGGGGGCCCCAATCCGCTCGCCTCACACTCCGAGCGGTTGGCACGGACAGCTCTCCGTGCCCCGGGCTGGTTGCGCCGCGACACCGCGGCGGTGCCGGCGGCCTTGGCGTGCTGCGTGCACTGCGTGCGCAGCGCCTGCAGCTCCTCCTGCCTCGGTTCTTTCGCATCGCGGGATCGCAGAAGGCGACCCTTTCCGTGTTGTTTTCCCTGCTCAATTACACGCCCAAGGAAGGCGATGCGTCAGACATGTAGAATATGTGCCTCAGCCTAACTGGCTTTTGAATGCTGCCTTCTTTTGGAGCTCAGGTATGTCAGTGACAAGGATCGCGGGATCGGCAGTTGGCAACAGCCCCAGGTGCCTCCTTGACTCCCTGACTCCTTGACTCCTTGACTCCTCCCTGACTCCTTGACTCCTTGACTCCTTGACTCCTTGCTTCTTTCTGCCCCAAGTGGCAAGCATGATCTGGTGTCCGCAGTTTGCTTGTGTTTCAAACCAACATCCTGCTACGAAGAATACCGTGTGAGTCACAGTGTTCCAGATCTTGGAACTTCAAAAGAGCTATCAGCAAGGCGTTTGCATATCAAGCAGGCAGCAATGCCTGTGCCTTTTTTCAGGTGGAACTTGGAAATTGAGAAGCCATTTGGGTGTGGGTCAAAAATGGGTACCCCAAATGGAACCCTACATACCCATTTCAAGCACACGGCCCAACGTTTGCTGCGCGCCGGGCTGGCGGCTGGACTCCGCACCCTCCACCTTTCGCAAGTGCTGAGGACAGATCTAGTGACGGGGATGGTCTGTCAGAGAACAGTATCACTAGGCAAATGTCAGGGTCAAGTGATGTCAAGTGATGTCAAGTGATGTCAAGTGATGTCAAGTGGTGTCAAGTGATGTCAAGTGATGTAAAGTGATGTCAAGTGATGTCAAGTGATGTCAAGTGATGTCAAGTGATGTCAAGTGTCAAGTGATGTCAAGTGATGTCAAGTGATGTCAAGTGATGTCAAGTGATGTCAAGTGATGCCAAGTGATGCCAAGTGCCTGAAGAAGGCATCTCACTTAAACGCGCCGCAATTGCAGCTCCTTTTGCAGGCGGCGATGCGCCTCCTCCTGCAGCCTGTTTCTCGCCAGGCGCTCCGACTGCAGCTGACTCCTGAAGATGTTGACCCAACTTGTGCTGACCAGAGCAGTAGTCACCAATTACCAATTAGTCAGTTCAATGATCAGGCGGTCAGCATCATGAGTATTGCTCCAATTCGAAACATGAGCGGTTCTCATTTAATATCTGTTGCTCACTTGCCAAATTCTCTCAAAGTGCCCGGCTCAATTGTCACATCTGGTTGCAAAGTCCTGAGTTCTTCCACCAGCTGCGACTGCTTCTGAAGCTCCTGGGATTGGATTTGCATGGGTTCAGAAGTGAAGCTCGCTTCACGCCACGAGCACCATGCATTGGCAGGTTGCCAGAACCGGCCGCTCATGCATTTGGACACATGTGAAGTGCATGGTTCTTCTCTTCTGAGACAAATGAAAGGCTTTGTTCACTTGAAAAGTAGCAAATGTTGGACAAAGCAAAACACGTATAGAATGCTGGATAGTGGGATAGGACTCTGCTTGCAGACTGCTCATGCACCTCCCTCAGACATTGTCCAGCGAGTGCACATCAATCTCGCATTGTGTTTGACTCGTTGGCCCCGCTACAGGTTCGAGAAGGAATCAACTCCCAGAACATTCAGTATCCACGATTGGGCTGTTAGGAACGCCTCAACCTCAGCTATATTGAAATCTAATTCCGAGACGTGTCCTGAGCCTCCAGAGACCACCTCTCTTCCTGCTGCGAATGCAGCTGCTCCTCTCGGCCAAAAAGAATTTGTTTGCAGCTTGTCTTGACGAGGGCGTGCCACAAATCGGGATGCTTCCTTGCAGTCTCCTGTTCTACCTCAAGACTAGGGGCGTGTGGTTCCTGCATGTTCCTGCAAACACAATCTGCACGTGATAACTCTGAGCGAGAGCTCGTCCTGGTAAATCATAATATCATCAGGAAATGAGAAACAGAGAACTCAAAGGGGGAGCTGACCAATTTAGCAACCATGAGCAAATAACGTTGGAAGGTGGCAAGAGCAGCCAACTCTTTACATCTTCTCTGCTAAATACACTATGGGGATTTCACAGTAACGAGCACACCTGCTGTGGATAGCCACTGCTGGCATGAGCTACGACCAAAATTCACCGTTACCCCAGATCATGTTGCAAGTTGGTAACTTAATATAACCTCCACTTCCTTAACGCGCTCTGGTGAGATGTCCCAATGTCCTAAGTCCGGTGGGGTCATGTTTCTTTGCCAAGAGCGGTTGAGGTGCAAACCGCCTAGTTCGTCGAATGCAACAGCATCCTCATCGAAAGCCATCTGAATCGTCACCATTCGAAGTCGGTACAGTGATCAAGTTGTTGTTTCTGTATTGATGTAAGGTGTGCTGATTCCCCAATTGTCGCAGCCAGCTAGCGTCTCACCGAAATGGCCTCGATGCTGCTCAACAAGCTTCGAAAGGCTGCTGAAGGGGTGGTTCCATGCACAAATTGGGGTCTTTCGCCTGGCATCTTTGGGGAGGCCAAGCACTTGCTCTGCAGGTTGCACGGCATTAGCTTTCTATCCATCCAGAAATATCCACCCCTGTGGCGCCAGAAAAATAATAGAGAATTATTGAAGGGCTTCGAGGGGCCTCGATGGATGTTTTTTTTCCCCATCCAAATGCCTTCTGCTGCAACTCGCCGTTGATGCTGCTCTGCTGTTGCAGCTCACTCCTCCGCACGCACATGGGACACAGTCCGCACATTCGTGCTATCCCCACCCAAACTTCGCGTTTCCGCACTCGACCAACGAGGCTCCGTGTCAGCCCCAGATGTGTGCCCCGCTTTGTGGCAGCCGAGCACAAAACGAAAACTGAACCCTGTCCAGAGCTTGCTCCGGTCGGCTTCCAGCAAATCTTTGTGCTGTTGCAGCTCCTTGCCAGGCAAGATTTGAAGCCTGGAGTTGGATGCCAATTTAGATCCACTCAATCGGTGCGCCCCTGCTTCCTTTCCACCCACGTGCATTGGGTCATCCTGAGCAGTCTTGGTGTCACTGCTCGCTATTTCTTCTGAGCTCTCGCAAGCACGATTCTGGAAGGCCGCAAAGCCACGCTATACAGCTAAAGTACAACTGACAAGGGGACTTTGCCCCGCCGATAGACTGTGCGAGAGGCACCATCCCACCGGTGCCAATGAAGCGGCCCAGAAAGCTGGAAGTTTGCACAGAAGGTGGAGCTCTCAAGCTTCGTTCTTGGCGTGCAAGGTGCACACGTCAGGCCTGTCTGGGAACTTGAAATCTGGAATGGGAGCTTGCAAGACATGCGCGAGCTTCGTTTATGCAGCTGGTCAGGAGGGGATCTGTCGGACTCTCGCATTGCGAGCCTGAAGTCGCTCTCGACGCTTTTAGGCCTACAAAGCGGTGGGGTTCGGAAAGTCACAGGACGTCATGGCAGTGCACTCGTCCATGGCATTCATCCATGCCAATTTCAGAGAATCTGCCAGGTCTTTCAGCTTCTTGCTGGTTAAAAATCCTGTTGCTGCTATATATTCTTTGCATGAGCTCAACACAACTGCCATACCAGCTCTCCGGATCTGTCTTGAGAACCAACTTTGACTCCGGGAAGACTGCTAGGTCATAAGGCTAGCGAAAGCGTCCAGCGTGGCCAAGGCAAGCTTTGAGCTGCCGGTTGAAAAGGTAATTGCACCAAGGGGATCTGAAATCCTTGGCCAGACGAAACCATGTACAAGCGCCGGCAACAAAGGCATGCGCATTCTAGTGAGGCGAGGGGAAACGAAACGCGAAGGGAAACCGTGCAAGGTGCCTTTTCTTGGCCACACGTTCTGCAGGTTGACAGAGACAACAAGGGACACCTCGCAAAGGCAAAATGTAAAAGGCAAGCCAAGCCCAGCATCCGGTGGGCAAAGATTTGTAGCCCAGAGTCTCACATGCCTCGCGGTTCTTTGCGCAACCTCGTCCAATGGTATTTTAGCCCCACGAACACGAAGACCAAAAATGGTCTTAGCGGAAGGCCATCACATTCGACACCTCCTTTTAGGGGTCGGACATTTGGCCGCGCCACGACTGTTTTGAAGCCACGCGCCAAGGTGGAATCTGACTCGACACACCTGGGAAACCGCCATGCTTTTCTCGGGCCTAGCTCCTGTCCGCCTGTTGCGTTGCAGCTTCAAGAACCTCGTCGACAAACGGCGAGAGCAACATGTATCATGAGCCTGGGACCCTGAAAGCGGTCAGAAGTGAGGCCACCCAAGGAAGACAAAAGGTTTGTCCTAAACGCCCGCTGGCCGCACACCGCTTGCAGAGTCCGAGCAATCAGCGTCCGGGCAGCCAGCACCCTGACCGAGGCCAAAACCTATGCATGTCAGATTCGGCATCAGTTTCCATCAGCGGCGCTGGCTGTGTGGGGAAAGTTGGGTCCCACTTCCTGCGTAGCAGCTGCTGTGCTCAGATTCGGCATCGGCTGCCTTCAGAACGGTGCTGGCTGGGCTGTTTCGGCCTGTTCTCGGCCGGTATAGCAAAAAAAGGCTGGCGTGCCACTTGCAAGTGGTGCACAAACAGTCATCAAAAACTGCGCCGGCCTGGAACTATCACGGTCTTGCTCGGAAAAGGCTTGGAGATTTGGCTTTGGCCCCCAGAGCGCTGACTCGGCCTCCTTGCAAGTCGCGCAGCTTTGGCCCGTCGGCTTCTGCCTTTTCCCACCGCCGCAGCTGCTGTCACTGCAGCACCCATGCCAGATAAACCACCTCAAATCGAGCGATATGTCCACCGGCAGTCCAATGCTTAGCCTGGGAGCCAAAATCCCAACGCAGCGTAGGCGATCATGGCGATCCTCGATCCATCCTGTGGATCCTAAACGAGATCCGAACCAAGCAATTTGCAAAGAATCAACAGGCCGGGCTTCGCATGGTAATGATTGGGCAACCTTCCTGACTCGGGCACATTCCTGATTGCGATGGATGGGAACGTGGCCACCGATGAGCAAGTTAAAACTAAATCCGCTCCACTCAAAAACCAAAAGAACTCCAAGACGGCTGCTGCATGCCACCAACAATCGCAACCCAGCTCCCCCGTCCGACAGCATGGCTCAAGACATCACTCACATCTCCCTCTCTCCCTCTCTCTGTCTCTCCCTGTCTCTCTCTCTCCTGGAGCTCTGTTAGCAGCTGCTTGTGCCTCTGTTGCTGCAGCTGCTCCTGACAGCTCGGCTAGCAACACAAATCCATCTCAAGACGCTTCCCTCGTGGCCGGCCTGCTGCTGCAGCTGTCCTTGGCTGCTGAATTGCTGCTGCAGCTCACTCCTGGAAAACGCGTCGGTCTCGTACTTTGCCTTTGGCTTTTAGCAGGGATGCCCAGAGGAAACTCTTCGGCCCGCCTTTTTTTTTTCCGGGACTGCCTTGAGGCAAACTGATTTCGGGTATCCGCGAAGCCTGGGGTCTCTTGTGAAAAGGGAAAAACATCCAAAGGACCCCGAATCCGGCAATGAATGTTCCGAGAGCCAAGCACGAACGTGTTCATTGGAGAGCCGTTGATTGCTTGGCATACTATTGCCCGAAACTCTGTCTTGTCAAGGTCGCTCCAGAGCTTGCCGCGGTCAGCTTCCAGCTGCAACTTGTGCTGCTGTAGTTCCTGCGCGGAAAGAAGTCGGCTGCCTTTTCTCTCGCCTTTGACACCAGCGCCGTTTGGGTCTGAACTCTCATAGCAAACTTGGCTCACCTCAAAGCTCCTGAGGTCCACCCCTCCACCCAAACATTGCTGTGCATCCAGAAAGTGCCTCCTGAACTAAGAGCGAGCCTTCCCAAAACCAATGGTCAAGTTGAATCGAGGTTCAGCGCCCTTCCGCAACTCCCAAATCTGTTCCTGCACCCGGAGCTGAAGATCTCTGCTGGAGTTCCTTTGCTCCTCCGAGTCGGCCGGCTGACCCCTTTTCTAAGTGGGTCGGAAGACGTTTGCAGGAAACCGAGTTGAAATGAATACCTTGACCGAGATTGAGCACATCTCTGCAGACCTGTCCTGCAGTTCCGCGCCAAAGTCCTTGTGTTGGGCCTGCGCAAAACAGACAAACCAGGCAAACCAAAAGGACCCATGCTTCCCTCCGTTGCCACAGCCCGGCCCGACAAGATCGCCAGCCTCCATGTGCTCAGCTTGTGCCGCCCTCATTTGCAAGGCACGCCTTGAGTCGAGCAACATCTGCTGTGCTCAGTGCGGCGTGAGCCCGAGCAAGGTGCGTGCTCGAAATCCTAGTGCTTATCGTTGGGCCAGTGACACTGGTATCGGAGTCTCAAAGACAGGCGGCTTCTTGGGACCCTTGGTCACAAGCGCCGGAACCGCCTGCCACTTTACACCGCGCCTGCCATCCTCCTCATGCCTCAAGCCAGAGCGAAGCCGCTCACCTCACGTCCAGTCTCGCAGGCCCAGTGCTTCCAGTTACCACTATAGTAGGTAGCCAAGTATGGCTGCCAGGTCTTGCAATATGACTTCCCCCTGGCTCCTACTGGAACTCAAGCGCTCCGAAGGCTTCGGGGCCCGGGCACTCCGCCTGCAGGCCGCCCTGGAGCTCCTGCAGCTGCCGGGCCTCTCGCAACTCGCTTTGCTTCGCCGGTGTCATGGTGTTTCCCTGTGAAAGGCCTTGAAAAGCAAGCCCACTTCAACTGGGTACCCCATCTGTCATGCGTCATGTGTGCCATTCGCTGCTTTGACTCTGGGTTCCCCTTGCGATCCAAAGAGTGCGCACTTCGCGATGCACTCCGCCCCGAATCACCCGTCACTGCCTGCTCCACGTGGCTCCAGTCTCGAGCAAGGGCCTCGTCGCGCTCATCCGTGACGCTCTGCAGCTGCCTGGCGCAAACTCGACGCAGGTCACATCCTGCGGTTCCTCAAATGGGATGATGTGTTTTGCACCCACGGACTGGTGCAGTTTGGTCACAACCCACGTACGTGGCTGTAAGTCCTTGGTTGGGTTTGAAGCATGGTTAGTCAATGAAGGCCGTAGGTGCTGTGCCAGGGAGGACAGAATTTCTATGTGGGCATGTGTTTGGATTAGGGAGCCTCCGGTGGACATCATTTAAAAACAATTTCTTAGCTGCGAACAAACTCTGAATACTTAGCCGCGCGTACAAGTGCTCCTAGCTATGTACACCTTTTGTCTTAGCCGCGCTAAGCTGCCAGCAATCATGGTCAATAGGGGCCACTGCAAAAAAATCAAAAGGACCAGGTGCTCTGTCCAAAAGGGGTGTCCCAAAAAGAAACTGGTCATCTGGACACACACATGAAAACAAACGCGTAGAGATGCACAAACAATAGAAGAAACACACGTACAAACAAACAAGCATACAAACAAACAAACAAACAAACAAACAAACAAGCATAAATAAGACATGAGCAAAGGCTGATCAACTTGTCTTTTGTCTGACATCTTCAGGCTAGGAACGTCGCCGCGTGACTCTTTGCTGGCTGTCGCCTGTAATCGATGGCTCTTCGTTCATCGACGCGTGGCTCTTTGCTGGCTGTCGCCTGTTATCGATGCCTCTTCGTTCATCGACGTGTGGCTCTTTGTTGGCTGTCGCCTGTTACCGATGGTTTGTCGTTCATCGACGCGTGGCTCTTTGCTGGCTGTCGCCTGTTATCGATGGCTCTTCGTTCATCGACGCGTGGCTCTTTGCTGGCTGTCGCCTGTTATCGATGGCTCTTCGTTCATCGACGCGTGGCTCTTTGCTGGCTGTCGCCTGGTATCGATGGTTTTTCGTTCAGCGTGGCTCTTTGCTGGCTGTCGCCTGTCATCGATGGCTCTTCGTTCATCGACGCGTGGCTCTTTGCTGACTGTCGCCTGTTGTCGATGGCTCTTCGTCCATCGACGCGTGGCTTTTTGCTGGCTGTCGCCTGTTGTCGATGGCTTTTTGTCCGTCGACGCGTGGCTTTTTGCTGGCTGTCGCCTGCTGTCGATGGCTTTTGGTTTTTTGCTGGCTGTATCCTGTTGTCGTTTGCTGTTCGTGCATCGACGCGTGGCTTCTTGCTCCCTTTTGTCGATGGCTTTTCATTCATCCACCCGTGGCTGTCGCCTGTTGTCGATGGCGCTTCGTTCATCTACGTGTGCCTTTTTGCTGCGTGTCGCCTTTTGTCGATGGCTTTTCGTTGATCGGCACGCTGCTTTTCTTGCTGGCAACCGCCTGTTGTCGATGGCTTTTTGTTCATCGCCGCGCGGCTCTTTGCTGGCCATCGCCTGTTGTCGATGGCTTTCTTGTTGGCGGCTGCCTGTTGTCCATGGCTTCTTACACATCAACGTGTCCGTGTACTTTTTGCTGGTCGTGCCTGTTGTGGATGACGTCTAGAAAATCGGCACCTGGCTTTTCGCTGGCTGTCGGCTGTTGTCGATGGCGTCTCGATCATAGACGCGCGGCTTTTTGCCGGCCGTCGCCTGTTGTCGATGGCTTTTCGTTCATTGGCTGTCGCCTTGTCACAGGCTCTTTGTTCATCGACGCGTGGCTTTTTGCTGGCCGTTGCCGGATGTCTGGCTTTTTGTTCATGGACGCGTGGCTTTCCGCTGGCTGCCGCATATTGTCGATGGCTTTTCGTTCATCGACAGCGCGGTTGTTTGCTGGCTGTCGCCTGTTGTCGTTGGTCTTTTGCTCATGGACGCGCGGCTCTTCGCTGGCTGTTGCCTGTTGCTGATGGTTTTGCGCTCCTTGACGCGGGGCTCTTTGCTTGCTGTCGATGGCTCTTCGTCCGTCGGCGCGTTGCTTTTTTTGCTGGCTGTCGCCTGTGGTCGACGGCTTCTCGTTCATCGAAGCGTGGCTTTTTCGTGGCCATCGCCTGTTGTCGATGGCTTCTTGTTCATCGACGCGTGGCTCTTTGCTGGCTGTCGCCTGTTGTGGATTGCTTTTCCTTCATCGACGCGTGGCTCTTTGACGGCCATCGCCTGTGCCTGTTGCCGATGGCTTTCTTAGTCGTTGGCTGTTGCCTGTTGTCCATGGCTTGTTACACATCAACGTGTGTACTTTTTGCTGATCGTGCCTGTTGTGGATGACCTCTAGAAAATCGGCACCCGGCTTTTCGCTGGCTGTCGGCTGTTGTCGATGGCTTCTCCTGCTGTCGATGGCTTTTCGTTCATCGACGCGTAGCCTTTGGCTGGCTGTCGCCTTGTCACAGGCTCTTTGTCCATCGACGTGCCGGATGTCTGGCTTTTCGTTCATGGACGCGTGGCTTTTCGCTGGCCGCAAATTGTCGATGGCGTTTCGTTCATCGACAGCGCGGTTTTTTGCTGGCGGTCGCCTGTTGTCGTTGGTCTTTTGCTCATGGACGCGCGGCTCTTCGCTGGCTGTTGCCTGTTGCTGATGGTTTACGCTCCTTGACGCGGGGCTCTTTGCTTGCCGCCGATGGCTCTTCGTCCGTCGGCGCGTTGCTTTTTTTGCAGGCTGTCGCCTGTGGTCGACGGCTTCTCGTTCATCGAAGCGTGGCTTTTTCGTGGCCATCGCCTGTTGTCGATGGCTTCTTGTTCATCGACGCGTGGCTCTTTGCTGGCTGTCGCCTGTTGTGGATTGCTTTTCGTTCATCAACGCGTGGCATTTTCCTGGCTGTCGCCTGTTGTCGATGGCTTCTCGTCCGTCGACGCGTGGCTTTTTGCTTGCCTGCTGTCGATGGCTTTTGGCCTTTTGCGAGCTATATCTCCTGTTGTCAATGCTTCTTCGTCTATCGACGCGTGGCTTTTTGCTGGCTGTCCATTGCTGTCAATGGCTTTTGGCTTCTTGCTGGCTGTAGCCTGTTGTCGATGGCGCCTCGTTCATCCACGCGTGCCTTTTTGCTGCGTGTCGCCTTTTGTCGATTGCTTTTCAACCATCGGCGCGTTGCTCTTTTTGATGACCGTCGCCTGTCGTCGATGGCTTTTCGTTCATCGAAGCATGGCTCTTTGCTGGGTGTTGCCTGTTGTCCATGGCTTTCTACATATCGACGTGCGACTTTTTGCTGGTCGCGCCTGTTGTGGATGGCTTTGCGTTTATCATCACGTGGCTTGTTGCCGGCTGTCGCTTGTTGTCGATGGCTTCTCGTTGAAAAAACGCGTGCCATTTTGCTGGCCGTCGCCTGTTGTCGATGGCTTTTTGTCCGTGGATGCGTGGCTTTTCTGCTGGCTGTCCCACGAGTTGTCGATCGCTTGTGGTTCATCGACGCGTGGCTTTTTGCTGGCCGTTGTCGATGGCTTTTCGTTCATCAACGCGTGGCTCTTTGATGGCCGTCGCCTGTTCTGGAGAGCTTTTCGCTCATCGACGCGGGGCTCTTTGCTGGCTGTTGCAAGTTGTCCGTGCGTGGCTTTTTGCTCATCGGTTGTCGATGGCTTTGCACATTTTGCTGGCTGCCGCCTGTCGTCGATGCCTCTGTCGTCGATGGTTTTTCGCTCGTCGACGTGCGACTTTTTGCTGGTCGCGCGCGCCTGTTGTGGATGGCTTTTCGTTTATCGACGTGTGGCTTTTCGTGGCTGTCGCCTGTCGTCGATGGTTTTTCGCTCCTCGGCGCGTTGCCCTTTGCTGGCTGTTTTTGCTGGCCGTCGCCGGTTGTCGATGGCTTTTCGTCCGTCGACGCGTGGTTTTTTCGTGGCCATCGCCTGTTGTCGATGGTTTTTTGCTCGATGCATTGCTCTTTGCTGGCTGTCGCCTGTGGTCGATGGCTTTTTCTCCGTCGTGGGCTCCACGAAAGGCCTGCCGCGGGTCCGTCGTGGCACCCTTCGTGTGGGTCCATTGTGGGTCGTCGTAGGCCCGTGGATGTCGGGGTCCGCCACGCGTTGGTCGTAGGCCCGTCATGGGTCCGTCGTCGTTACGGGGTCCGTCGTGAGTCCGTCATCGCTCTGCCTCGGCTCCGTCCGTGGGTCCGCCCATCATGGGTCCGCCCAAACGCCAGCCAATCCTGATATCTGGCAAGCACTAACCAATTCATTCAGCACAAGCCAGTGGGAATATCATCTGTCCGACTAACATAGGGGACAAAATTGCCCACATAGAATGATTCTCTTAAAGTCCTGACTCCAGTTGGTATTGAAGTACCCCACCCCACTAGACTTCGATGACTCCGTTCCCCGAAGTGAAGGATCTCGTTTGATTCATCCTCTCTTAGCCTTACGCAAAACATTTGGTCGAACACCGCACCTGAAGGAACCAAAAGAACTGACGTCCCATTCCCGTGCGCGCCCCAACCGTCCCACGTTTATACATGGTTGAAAATGCCCGCTTGTATTTGCTGAACAATCCAAAACGTCCGTGGCTAGAGAATCATCAGTGCAGGGCTAAAGAACAGGCGCATGGCAAAGTCGACGCTTGTACATGCCTAAGAATAGTTCTCACATCATTTATGTCCACCAACCACTTTCCAGGGTCTTCCCTATTAAAATTCGTGGCCATGTTTGGCTGGCTGGGATTGCTTGGATGTGCCACCGGCGTCTCAGCAAAAGAGCAACTGATGCAAGTGCCAACGATGTCTCCATTCGCACACCTTCGAGACATCACATTTAGATATCCGTCGAAGGAACAAAGAGCACCATGACGGGCATGGCCGGGAAACAGTACGACTCAAAGATACAACACCGAATCAAACATAGGGCTATGGCACGTAAACAACGTCTCGTGGTCAAAACAACTCTCGTGCCCAAGCTCGGTGAGCCTCGCCTGCGCAGCTGCTCTTTTCGGCCTGGCCAAGGGCTTCAAAGGCCATGGGGAAGGTTTTTGTGGTTTGACTCGGTTTCGGGGGGAAGCCTCCCTCCCAAGAAGCGGCTTGAAATATCCAAACGGATGACCTCAATGGGCAAACGAGGCATGTGGAACAACATGAGCTCAAATCCGGCAGGTCTCGAACTGTCCGACGTGGCTCGGGTGTCCAACCTCTCTCTTTGTGGAGCTCGCCGTTGAGTTCAGCCTCGAGCGCATGCGACTCAGGAGAATGGTCAGACAGATGTTTCAAGGGGATCCCCGCACCCATCCACCACATGAATCTGTCTTACCAGAATCCTTTGGGCCCACAACAAAGGGCATGGTCTTTGGCGCGGGGGGAACGACCGCATCGCTGACGCCCTTCCGCTCGCTCCTTTCTTGAAGCTAACCATCCGATCGCTTAGCCAATCAAGCTGACTCCACTCGACTTGCAGCGCCCACTGCTCTTCAAGGGCTATCGGCCGGAGCTGAGGCTGCTTGCGAGGTACAAGGCTTAAGCATCTTGAGACGCGCTTTGCAGCTCTGGCTCCCGAAAATTCAAGTTTGGATTAGAAATACCCGCTCAGGCAGCCTGATTCGCTGGGAAAGTCGCTTCCGCAACTCTGTTGTCGGTGCCGAGCTCTCCCGCCACTGGAAGCTGACAAATCTTGTGACTGCCCAGCTTACCATCAAAATGCATGCAGGTGCACTCACGAAAAAACGTATGAGGCACAATTTGCCCCCGAAGTCCTTCGCACTCAGAAGTCCACATCCTCACAAACGCAGATCGTGCTTCTTCCGCACAAACAAGGCCGGCAGACCTGGGCTGAAGGAGCGCTTTTCGGCTCGAGCGCTTTTAGGAACACTGCCCTCGATGCCAGGCGGCGCAGGGCTGCTTGTTGCACATGCAGCTCTCAGGATCCACCAGAGGCTTTGGACCTGGCTCCAATTTGGCGATCCAGAATGTCGGCGTGAAAAAGAAAATGTGCGGGCAAGGCATGCCAGGCATGCTTGCGATGTGGACATATTTCATGGCGCTGCTCTTACAGTTGTTTCGGCTGCAGAGTTGGCATCCTTGAGATGGTGTTTGATTTTCTTAATCACTGAAGCCCCGCAAGGGTCCCTAGACTGGTTCAGGAACATGGCCAACATTTATCCAACCTCCAGCATACCGTATGCTGGGAATGCCCAGTCGTGTGTAAAACTCCATCGGCCGCGTGGCCATGGAAGCGACATGGCACCAAGCCCAGCCTGAATCCTCGTACTCCACTTTCACCTTCTGCCTCTCACCTCTCAAAGCAGTGAGATCCGACGTCCCTTTCTCGCTTTGAATTCTTCCTGCGACTTATTTTGTCCCGCCTTCCCCCCCCCAACCCATTCGTCTCTCTGTGGCCCACGTCAAATCTTTCTGCCCGCCTGCCCGGGCGCTGGGGTGCTGATCCTGCAAAGCCGCCCGTCATCCGTATCCAAGCGAGACTTCGGACGCTGAAAAAGGCGAAAGCGAAAGCAAGATGCGCCCGCGCAGCATGCGTTTGGAACCGGACAAAACGGGGGAAAGGTGGGCGTTTTCCATGTATCCCTTTGGGGGCATCCGCTCAACGAATTAGTTCAGTGCAGTGCGCCGCTGCAGGCAAGCTGCATCCAGCTCGGGCTTTGGCTCCGGCCTGCCCGCTGCCATCAAGTGTTCGGCATTTGAATGGAACTGTCTGGACTAGTTGACTCTTGTTGTTGGCCAAATGTGTTTACACTGTTTTGCTTGTTTGTTTCTTCTTTGCTGCCTATCTTGTCCGCCTGTGTCCTCTCTCTCTCTCTCTCTCTCTCTCTCTCTCTCTCTCTCTCTCTCTCTCTCTCTCTCTCTCTCTCTCTCTCTCTCTCTCTCTCTCTCTCTCTCTCTCTCTCTCTCTCTCTCTCTCTCTCTCTCTCTCTCTCTCTCTCTGTCTCTGTCCATCTGTCTGACTGTTGCCGTCTTGTCTATTCGTTTGCTTCTTCGAACCATGTGAGCTGCCTTGCACAGAGCTCATGTCAAAAAGGCGAGGACCAAGTGGCCAGGAGCAACTGCGAGTGCAGGCCGGAGCCTCGTGAGGAACGCGAAGCAAGAGCAGCACCCAGACCTGACAAAGCGGACAGCCAGCTATGAATCAATACCTATCTAAAACACTCACCCTTGACCTGATTGGTTGGGGTTTGCGGTTTGAAGTTCAACCTAGTTCCTGTCTTCAAGGCTGGATGCACGTCTTCTTGCACCTAGTTCCTGAAGTCAATTGCAGTATTCGCCAAGCCAGGTGCCCCAAGTGACCAAAGTCGCTGCGGCCAAAGTCGCGAGCTCTGCTTCACGGGCTCGTTGGCGTCCGGGTGAATGAAGCGCCGGTGCAGTTGCGCCCGCTGGACAGGGAGCCAAGTCAAACCAAACCCGGGAGGGCGAGGGGGCCGGGAGGCGCATCATGGAAGGCAGCAGAAGCACCCTGGACGACGACGTCAATAGAACATTTCAGTGAACACCTGCGAGCCATTTAGCACTTGTCGGACTTCCCGGCGTTCGATTCCCAAGAACGTCAACAACTCAAGTCGATCCCAACTGCTAAAGCTGGGCACTGGAGGAGTTTCAACTAATGCCAGGTTCGCTCAACAGATCCATTACTCTATCGTCAATTTGGAGTTCGGGACATGTGGGGCTCACCATTTTTCATCAGACAATTTGCGGTCTGAGTGTGGTTTGTTGTGTGTGCGATGGAATAGACATCCCGGATCCACACTCCACATGAGCGGGAAATCATGGATAAAGAGGGAATGCTTCGGTGAAAGCGAAGGCAAATACTAAGATCAGACCTGTTTAGACTTGTGCCACGGTCAAAAGATTTGCTTGCTTGGTAGGGATGGTAGACGGTCATAGACCTTTAGAATTGGGAAGGAAGACAGATTGGCAAAAGACTTTGCACATGTGCCTGAAATCTCTCTTAATATCCGTCCGAAGTGGAGGCAAGCCAGGCATACGCAAGCAATTAAGCACGCTCCCACGCTCCCACTGTTGTAAAAGGGAAGATGTGGGGATTGATCAATATTCCTGGCCTGCAAATGAACATGGGTGACCTTTTTCCATGTGGAAAAAACAAAAACTCATTTTTGGTGGTTTTCCAACCAACGGTCATCCCACATGAGAACTGGACCTTGGGATCAAGTGTGGAGAAGATCCCAGCGCCTGCTCCGAATCGAAGCTCTTGTCGCAGTGTTTGCACGCAAAGGCCATGGCGAACGTCGGGCAAAGAGGCTGTGCACGCCGTGTCGCGACTGCAAGCGTGTCACGGCCGCCTGTTTGGCCATTTGTCGCAAAGGTGGCTGACATGTTGAAGGTGGCTGTGGAATGGGGTTCTCTTTTCTGAGAGCAATTGCTGCAACCGCAAGACTTGCAAGCGCGACACAAACGCCATGATCCGTTGCCAAGAGTGCTCCGCTGCCTAATCCTGTGAGGATTCCTCTTTCAAACATGGACAGGACCTTTTTCTCCGGCGTCTGAAAGGTATGGCCGTCGCCTCAGCACCACACAGGCTATGTCTGGCAACCTTTGAGGCGGCAAACTCAAGGGTCGCCCAAGCCTTTGATTGGGAAGAGTTTGCCAAGTCTTAAACGCGCAAAGCAGAGCTCATTCTTTGCAAATTGCAGTAAGGTCGCGTCAAGCAAGGCCGCATGTGTGTGTGTGTGTGTGTGTGTGTGTGTGTACGTGTGTGTACGTGTGTGTGTGTGTGTGTACGTGTGTGTACGTGTGTGTACGTGTGTGTACGTGTGTGTACGTGTGTGTACGTGTGTGTACGTGTGTGTACGTGTGTGTACGTACGTGTGTGTGTGTACGTGTGTGTGTGTACGTGTGTGTGTACGTGTGTGTACGTGTGTGTACGTGTGTGTACGTGTGTGTACGTGTGTGTACGTGTGTGTACGTGTGTGTACGTGTGTGTACGTGTGTGTACGTGTGTGTACGTGTGCGTACGTGTGTGTACGTGTGTGTACGTGTGTGTACGTGTGTGTGTACGTGTGTGTGTACGTGTGTGTACGTGTGTGTACGTGTGTGTACGTGTGTGTACGTGTGTGTACGTGTGTGTACGTGTGTGTACGTGTGTGTGTACGTGTGTGTACGTGTGTGTACGTGTGTGTGTACGTGTGTGTACGTGTGTGTACGTGTGTGTACGTGTGTGTACGTGTGTGTACGTGTGTCTACGTGTGTGTACGTGTGTGTACGTGTGTGTACGTGTGTGTGTGTACATACATGTGGCTGTGGGTCAAAACCAATGGTACTACTTTGAGGTGCACCACCCATTTTAGTCTATTTTAGTGAGGATTGGGATGTTCACTGGGGGTTTGGGATTTTGACCCTTGGCCAGGTTGGTCTAGGCAGTCCAGAATTAACAGCCCCAGCGGCAGCAGAAAAGCATGGGAATCTCCTTGCGCTACTTGTCACTTGCACCAGCCTGGCCGCAGGCAGCTCAAAACCGATCATGGGCAGTTTTGATGAATGCATACCAAGCACTCCTTCAACTCGAAGGCACAGCTCTTCAGCTTCCCTCTGATTAACGTGTTGGATTGGATTCTCACTTGCCTTCCACAAGAACCAGTTCAGAGGCCCAAACCACCAATCCAAACCACCAACTAAGGGATGAGTGGTTTTTTCCCCGCCTTCAGTGCTAGCCACTCGTTCTTGGGCCGATGCAGCACATTGAGAAGCTCCGATTGCACGTGGTGGCCCAGCCTCAAGCCGCAAGCGCTGCGTTTGCGTGCGCCGCGAGCGAGCGAGCGGAAGGTGACTTAAGTGCAGCCCCGGCAGCTTGGAAGCGTCGGCGGAGGTCAGCAAGCCACGCTCCTTCGACGTAAAAGCCATCTCGGATTCGAAAAGCCGAGACCGAGGGATGGACCTATCGCCTCGCCACTCGTTGCGCCAGTTTTCCGTCGTCTCAAACTCCTGGCCCCTTCCAGTTGGCTTCCTTTTGGTTTCCCTTGAAAAACCCAGAGCACCCCCACCCCACCCACCCCACCCACCCCACCCACCCCACCCACCCCACCCACCCCACCCACCCCACCCACCCCACCCACCCCACCCACCCCACCCACCCCACCCCCCGAACTACAAGAATTGGTTTTAGCAAATCCCCATCCCGCAGCGCCTTCCAAACCCCCCGAACTGACCGCCGGTGAAGCGGCCCCGCTCCTTGAGCTCCTCCACCTCGTGGAGCTGCTGCTGCAGCAGCTTCCTCGCCAACATCTCCGTCCTGACGCGGGCGCGACGCGAGAGGGCCACACCGAAGGGAGAGAGGGACACACACACAAAGAGAGAGATGGAGACACACAAAGACACACAAAGACACCAAGAAAGCACGCCCTTGCGGACTCAGATGTCCACTCCGCCAAGCTTTTAGTGCAGCATACTTGCACAGTCAGCCTCAAGGGCCCGCAGCCCCAGATCCCCGCCTCGCCAACGTCACCAGGTCATCTGGCAAAGCCTGGTGTGCAGCTTCCGAGCACAGATCTGCCCTGCGCGTCCCCTCCGACTTGAACCAAATCCAAGAACTTCCACAACTTTCTTCTCAAATGAGGGAGTGCCTCCGAATGGTTGATCGCACATAGGTTGCCTCTTGACTACGACCAGAAGACTCATGAAACACCAAAACTAGACCAAGCAAAGAGCAAGCTTCCTTGCCCCGAGACCGTAGCAACTTTTGGGTGGCCCCACCTCCCCTGCCCTCGTGGCAAACATTCAGCACGTGGCGGCAAAAGCATTCAGCCCAAGCAGAGGTTCACCTTTGAGGTGCCTAGCTTTCAACCGCCATTGCTTCACTGGAGCAGAGAGCGGCTGTGCTTTCGCTTTCCCCCTGCGAATTTTGGTTCTCAAGTCCGAAGACCTTTGGGTCCAAGCTGTACGAGTTGCTTAGGCTCAGGTCTGGATTAGGCTTCAGGTAGGTCTCGGCTTGGTTCCGGCCTGTTGGTTTTCCCCCCTTTTGGGAGAGACTACGAATTTCATGGGTTTGTCTCCGAATCAGGAAATGGACATTTCCCAAGACGCGCACCATCAAGCCTTCATCAACTTCCAAGGGTACCAATCTCCAAACAAAAATGGCCAGGAGCCAACCAAACTCCTGAAGGGTTACGACCATCTTGGAAGGGTCCCTGGAACCTGCCGGAATTGCCGGGAACCCCTCGGAAGCCCATGAAGGACCCCATCTTTTAGCTGTTGAGAAAAACCAAAGAACTGAACAGAACCCAACGCAACGGGTCGGTCAGACAGCGGTCGGCGCACGCCTCGCCTGGAGCATTTGCTGCGCATCCTTGCACTCGTCCATCGACTCAGCCGCCACGGTCTCCTTCACCTTCCGACGCAATTGGGACCCAACCGAAACAGAGACTCTCGACAAACAGACACCCCAAACAGCCCAAAAACAAAGAAAACAACAGTGGCAGTCCAATGCGCGATTTGCTAATTAAGCAGATCGACGAGAGGAACTTGTGCTAGAGGAAAAGGGGGAAGCACACCGCTTAGGTTTCAGAACCCCTTCCCCCGCCGTTTCAAAGGGCCCTCCGGCATCTGACACGACCTGGGCACATTTCTTGGAACGCTGTGAGGGCCGCACCAAACTGGGTAAAAGGTTCCAAAAAGTGGCCAGCTTCAGGCATGATCCACGGCTTGCGGTGGGTACCCTTCAATGAGCCCGCCTGGGCGCTGTCATGGAAGAATCCTGAGTCGGCGTCCGAAGCTTGCCAAACTGAAGTCCCAGACAAGCAGCAAACAACACGTCAAACGAAGTACAAATCACTACAGCAAAGAAAAGCAAAACAAATCAAGGCAAAGCTACGAAGAGCAGAGAAGGGCAAAGAAAAGCAAAGCATAACAAAGCAAGCAGAGCAAAGCAGAAGAAGGCAAAGCACAGCAAAACACATGCAATGCAATGCAATGCAATGCAATGCAATGCAATGCAATGCAATGCAATGCAATGGAATGGAATGGAATGGAATGGAATGCAATGGAATGGAATGGAATGGAATGCAATGCAATGGAATGGAATGGAATGCAATGCAAATAAGCAGGGAAAGGCAAACAACATAAACAAAAAAAAATCAAGGCAAAGCTACGAAGAGCAGAGAAGGGCAAAGAAAAGCAAAGCATAACAAAGCAAGCAGAGCAAAGCAGAAGAAGGCAAAGCACAGCAAAACACATGCAATGCAACGCAACGCAACGCAACGCAATGCAATGCAATGGAATGCAATTCAATGCAATGGAATGGAATGGAATGCAATGCAATGCAGTGCAATGGAATGGAATGCAATGCAATGCAAATAAGCAGGGAAAGGCAAACAACACAAACAAAACAAAACAAAACAAAGCGAAACAAACAAACTAGCAAAACGACAAGCAAATAAAACACCCAAAGGCGAAACAGAAAATCAACATACCCAAAAATGAGGCCAACTTGTCCAACTGCAGCTCTCCCTCAAGCCGAGGTTCGTGGCAGCTCCTCGCGTGTGCTGCGGTGGGCTTCCAGGAAGGACAGCACCTGAGGCGTTAGGAGATTTCTGAGGAGCTACTGAATTTTCATTCCCAGGAGCTCATAACCAATGGACGGAATGCGAATCAGAACCAGGAGCAAATCATAGCTAACATTATTCATAACCGGTATTAATGTGGCTCCCCCCCCACTAATTAATAAAGGGTACCGACATTTGTAACTTCTGAATTGAGACTTTCTGAGATGTGGCAAGGCAGTCGTAGACGGCCCTGTCACCTTCGTGCCACCACGGCTGCCAAAGCACAGTCGCTTGCTTGGATTTATCGGAACGTGACAGCTTCAGGTTCGCTGTCTCCGCTCCAGTTCAAGTTGTGGCACTCCCTGGATGCAAATCAAAGCAGTCGCAGTGTGGCAGCTCGCTGGCTGCATGGGTCTATCAAGTCTGCCCTCTCGACCTGACTGGCCTTGAGTACATTTGAGCCTCGTCTGTCTTCCCCAGCATGCCTGCATTCCGGCATGTTGCCCTTCCAGCCACTAAGAACAAACACCAAGCATCTGTCAGCACTCAGACGATCGACATTCTCACGAAACCCCCGAGCAAAACGCCGGCAGAAGTACCGGAACCACCCACACATCCTTGAGCAACATGTTTGTTCCCGCGGACTGCTTGGAAGTGAGCTTTCTGGCCAAGTATGTCAGTTCAGTTGGCAAGATGCGTTCCCACCAACCAAACCTGCGAGCACAACTGCGACGCCGCCCGCCCGGCGGAACGCACCTCCCCGCTCCGAAACCTTTCGACTTTCGGCTCCGAACGCCAGGCCGCGCAGTAGGCCTTCTGCAAAAGCTCCCCCATGGCATGCTCCCCAGTAAGTTTGGCCAGGAGGCCGCGCCCTGCCCTCAGTCGCATGTGGGTAATACTGCTGGCAAAGAATAAGATGTGTATGTATATTTAAATGTTATATGTATATATATATATATATTGCCTTTGAGTTGGAAATTTGGAGATTCGGAAAAGCTCGAGGCAGAAACACTAGCCCTGTCAGCTCTGAGAGTGGTGGCTGCCTGTGGCGTGCAGCTGGGCTTGCTTTGAGGTCGGCCAAAGCTGTGGGACACTTGTTGGATCTGATCATTCCGAAAAAGAAAAAATGATCCCTTCATCTCTCAACTAGGCCTAGAAGCAACAAAATCTGCATTTGAACATGACCTGATGCTGGTGCTGGAGCTGTCTGTGGACACCACAGCCCAAAACCCTAAGACCAGACACTGGAAACTGTCACTGAAAAACCTCGACCAAACCAGCACTCCAAGGCTCTGCCTTTGGGCTTTACCGGCGGATGACCCCACAAAATAGAACCAAGACCCAAATGGGCATTCCTGGGACACCACCCCCTAAACCCTAAGAACTGGTGGATGACACGGCTGAAGACTCGATCAGTGTCAGCATGCAGTTCTTAGCATTGGGTTTCCAGGGGTGGCCCTAGTCGAATCCTCCACCAGCATCATATGCAGATCCTTGGTTCGGGCCTGGATTTCAATATTTCAGGTTCAACATTCCAGGTAAAAAAGTTGTCCTTGGAATCTTGAATCTTGAATCCGGGCGCCGAATGAAGTTTCCTTCGTTTTCATTCGGTTTCACTCGGGGGGAGGGGGAAGGATTGATGAACGATGTGCTTTTCTACGGGCCACGAGCTTGAAGCTTCCAGATCGCCTTTGGAGTTGCGCCTTCGCTTCTTTCTTCCAAGCCCGCAAGAAGGCAGGTCTCGGTGAGGGGGGGGGACCGGGAAAAAAACCATAGACGTAGTGACGCAGCCAAAACGGTGGTCGTCCCTTTGAGTTGGGAATTGGAGACTCCGAAAACTTGAGTCAGGAGCTTCGAAGAAGCACCAGCCCTGTCAGCTGTGAAAGCGGTGTCGGCCAAAGTCGGGAAGCCTGTTGGATCATTATGATCATTCCAAAAAACAGAACGAGACTAAGAAAGGATCGTTTCATCTCTCAACTAGGAACCTTGGAGATGGAGTTGTATCATTCCAAAAGCAACGTGAACCCCGAGCAATGCCTTCGCCTTCCGAGAGTCTCCAAGGATGACTTGATGGCTTCCCAATCCTCGAGTCAGCGAAGGCTGGGGGCCTTCCGTCAGGAGCCGATGTGGTCATGTCCAAGCGCCTCACGATTTCGAGAAGGCCCGTCTAAGATCTTGTGGAACACGGGCTTAGACGCTTTGCGGAAACAACGAGCTGCCTAATAGCACTAATGCGCGTCGAAGTCTGCTCCTATAGGCAACTCGCACGCCTCCTCAACCCGGCAACACAGTCAAGCACGCCAAGCATTTGTGCGTCCAAGCAGCTGCCAGCGGCCTGAGCATCACAAAAGTCTGAAAAAATGCCAGTGCAGCTGCATGAGGGTCTTTCAAGAGCCACTCTTTCGCTTCTCCAGTGTCTAACCGGGAAAAACAACTTGATTTCCGCGGTGGGTTCAGCCCCAGGTTTTGGCTGGAATTTGGACCAAACATTTGTGCCATCGTCCTCCCAACGGACCGGGGCAATCCCGCCAGGGCGGCATGGCGGTGCTGTCCAGCGCGACATCCACGGAGCTCAGCAAGAAGCGTGCGGACTGGGAGGTGCGCGGAAGAAGGCCTCGACGCGGCGAAAGACTCGCGGCAGCACCGCTTTGTGAATCCATTCATGCATCCAAAGAGCCAAACCGAATCTGTCGAAGCACAAGCTTCCGGTCAAAGTGAGCTCTGTTCTGCATCATCCCCCAAGACCTTGGCCCTTTTCGGCCGTCTGCCAACTCCTATCCTACTGCACTGGCGTCAGCCTCAAGGCAAACCGAACGACGAGAGGTCTCACATCTCAAGGACCTCTTGGCTCAACGCACGGCTGGCCTTGCTGGATTGAAGACCAATAGTGGCTCTTGACCTCAGAAGCTACAAAGCATGGACGTGTCCCTCGGTTTCGGACGGGTTGCTCAAGGAGAAGGGTGGACAAACAGTTTGCGGAATGGGGGGGAGGGGTCATCCTAGGAAATCCTTTGGGCCTGACATGCAAGCATGGCTATGTTAGTCAAGCGAGCCCGCCTCCGACCCACGGTTTAGCCTTGGCTCTGACTTGTACTGAGCGCACGGCGACCTGCAAGAATGCCGCGCGGTAGGCTTGGGCGGTTTCGCTGCCGGCAGCGTCTTCCGAAGCCTGCGGAAGAGTCACACGACCGGTCGCGGACTGAGCGGCTCAGCCCCACCTCCTTGGAGGTGGAGAGGGACGGCACCATGGCGCGCAGCATGGCCTCCAGGTGGAAGCAAGCCAGTGGGGGGAGCTTCTCGATTCCAGGAACGCCCCCAAGACGATTTGAAGAACTGACTGAGTGGAATGAAGAATTGAGTCAGAAGACTGCTGAGCTTTTGATCGTTTCTTTCTGTAACGGAGTGTCCAACGGATGCACAGTCCCGCCTCGTCAGCACCCGCCAAGCGCAGGTCTGTGTCCTTGCTCCCCTGTCGATGAGAGTGATTTGATCAATGCACGCGCCCTGTTGAGCCTATCCAATTCTTTAAGGGGTTGTCAAGAGAACCAAACATGGATTCCAGCCACCTTGCTCTTTGAGAAGAAAAAAGGTGATGGTATGGAGTAGCGCACCGTTATGAGGCCTAGCCAGACCAACAAAGCTGGGGTGAAACAATTCTTTCCAGGTACCCACCGGCACTGCTCAAGCCGACACGCAGAAACCTCAAATCGTCCTGTGAGGGGAAAAACAAAAATAAAAACCGACCTAAAAAAAAAACCGAGAAGGGGTGTGGAGGTACCGTCACTGGAAAAGGAGCTCCTCTTGGAACTGATGTTGGCTATGCTCCGCCAGGTGCCGACTCAGCGCCGCCAGCTTCCGCTCCTCCGCCCCGGAGCTCCTCGCGGAACCGTGGGAGTTGCTCGTTTTGCCTTTCGCCCTCACAAGACCATGAAACTCATGGCGTGGTGACACGGTGAATGGGAAGCGAGGGGACTGGACATTGCCCCGCGATATGTACATACATATATATATATATATATACATATATGGGTTGGGACAAGACCCTGGTCGCCGTGCGAGTTCTCCTGGCGAGGCCCAAGGCACGAAGCAGAGGCGCCGCCGTGGTGGCATTCACCAGCAAGGTGAGCGCAGCGATGCCCCCCACGTGGAACATGATGCGGGCGCCCATCTCCCTGGGCTCGCAAAGTTGTCAGCGTGTTGACACACAAACCGCATTTCAGCTCTCTCCTTTTTCAGCTCATCAGCGCTGGCAGTTGGCCAGGTGACCAAAGTTCAAGGCCGATAGAATCACCTTTCCTGCCAGGGCTCTTGGATATGGCTGGCTCCTCATCGATGATGATGGCCAAGGTGAGGCTTACAGCGCCTCTCAGCCGGCCATCTATTCACTATTTCCAAGCCACCTGCAAAACTCCCTCGCAAGCGCGCCTCGCAAGCCACTCCACACCATCGCCACACCCTCGCGCCAGTCGATTGGGCTGCCGACCTTAAGGACTCCCCGGATTTCGAACAGGGCGCATTGCAAGGGGACAACGCGACGCTGAGTTGGCCTAGGCGCCATGTTCAAAGGCACCCACAGGACTCCGAGCCTCGGCTGACAAGTCCTGATGTCTGCTCCCGGTGTACCCGGCAAGATGCGCAGTCCATGTCTTGCCTGGCGGCATTGCTGCCCGAATCAGCAGCAGCGCGATGTACAAGACCAACAGCCATCCTCACTGCTTGCGTCCACCAGCGGCCCTCTTTGTTTTGCACCCACTGAATCCAAACGAAACCCTTCACCCGAAGGGGATGTTCTCACAAGTACCCCCCCCCACCTCCCCACCCCCCCCCCCCCACTCCACACGCCAAAGCGCCGAAGTCCGCCAACTGCACGATGCCCACGGAGTCCAGCAGCGTGTCCGCGAAGAGCAGCCCCGCCAGGAAGAAGATCACCTCGTGAGACGCTCACGCCACAGATGCTACCGCTGCCTGGGGAGCAGTTGGACCCATGGGCGTGGGGAGACCGCAGGTTTTCGTCCCTGGCTCCATTGACCAGGGTTCCGTTTTGGGTACCTATGTTTCACGGCCATATGGCCATGGGTCGAAAGCCCAGTTAGCCCCAGAACATCCGATTCAATCCCCACGAAAGTTAAAATGGATGGTGCAGCTATCCCAAAATGGTACCATTGGTTTTGAACCATGGCCATTTCTGCAAATGCGAGCATCAGCGGCAAAAGACGGGACTCATGCGTCAATGCACAAGATCGAAGACTGACACCTGGAATCCGATGGGAAGAAAACGCCAGAGCCCAAGGCACGGTATTCCCCACAAACTCCACCGCCTCCCACACTGCCTCCAGCGCCTGATGGGCAGCTTGGGCCTTCCGGCCTTTTCGACTCGAGTAACCAAAGCTTTGGTACAGGTTTCCGGGGAATCTACCCAAACCTCGCCCCTTAGGTGGAAATGGCCGTTCATTCAGAAACTCCTACATGAAACCACCTCTTGCACGTGCAAAGAGAAACTAAGGGAGAACAACCATCATGGTGGTTCGGTGTCTTATTCAGGACATCTCTATATTAATGTACTTGAAACCAATCCTGGAACCAACTAGGCTTGAGTTCCGCTCGTAAGGCCGCATCTCAAAGGCCCAAATGATTGATTCCTTGAAAATTTTAAGGGGGGGGCCTGAATTTTACCGCAAATGCCTAGGTATTGTGTTTCCGTGCACACTCCCCGTGCCAATGGCTGTGCAATACTCTTTAAGTCCGAGGTGCAATACTCTCTGGGTCTGAGTGTGTCTAGTTCGAGGGAATGCGTTTTGGAGCTGCTGCGGAAAACCACAGAGAAACCAAAAGGAACCAAACAACGGGAAACCAACACTTTTTGGGGGGCTTCCAACCCAAGGCAGCCTCCACCGACACGAAGCGCGGCCAGGCGAAATAGGCCACTACAAAGCCTGAGGAGACGGTCGCCTAAGTCGAGCCGAGCGGGATGTTGCACAGGCCCCTTCCAAGAGGGGGCCGGGCCGCTTCGGCCACCTGTTGCACGGTGGCAAACTGATTTCTGAGGTTGGAACCCCCGCGGACACGAGTGGACGGTTGATGTCCACCAAAGCTTCCCACCATCTAGAGTTCATACCTACGTTGGTTGGCCGCTCTGAATTTAGAGTTCATACACCGTTGGTTGGCCACTCTCACAGGATCTCCGTTACAGAAAGTATCGAAAAGGGCCGAAAGCCACTGATCCTCTCCCTACTCTAGTGAAATTACTGGAACGGGACAAGGAATTTGGAACCTGCGAGCCTTTGGAGAACTCAAGCTGCACCCATGGCCACTGCTCCTGTTGCGAGCTTCGTTGGTGTGGCGTTGCTTTTGGCTTTGCCCAAATTGTTGCCCTGGCGCTGAGGCCGCGAGGTTGGGCTCGGGGTTGCGAGTTTCTGCCAATGCTCGGCACGTTTTGGCGTCCAAAAGCATCACACTTGCAACATTCCCGTCCCACGTCTGCGGCCTACGGCTTAGCCTGAGGCCCTAAGGCTGTTGGCATGCGGCAAAACTGCTCAAAGCTCCCTAAGCTTCCCTCCCTTCCCGCCAGAGGGCCAGCACGCCGCTGGTGGCCAGCTCGCTCTCCGCCACAAAGAAGGCCAAATAGCTGCAGCACAGCCTTGGAGTCACAGGTGGAGGCCAGCACCCACGGATTTGAGCGCCCAAGAGCAGGTTCAGGCACAATATGCTATTCCTGCGTGTTCCAGAGTCGGCTCGAAACATCCATGCGCCAATTGAGTGCAGGGAGAGTCGCGTGGTGATGATCTGGACCAGGCAATCCTTAATGTACGGCTCGATCACTGCACCCCTTGTTTCACAGAGACCGTCTTCCTGGTCGCGCTTCTTTGCAAAAATCAGGCTCCGAGATCCCCATGAACGGACCATGTCAAAACCGTATGGCAAAGATAAACCAAATGAAAGCATTTGGGTCACATTCACCTCTATCCCTCATCCCACTCGCTTCTTCCAGAGACGAAAGGAACGATTAGAAGCGAAGGAAGGGATGAAGATAGATGGGTGAGGAATGACTTTTCTCTCCCTATCACACCTTGTCCTTTCCTATGGTCAAGAGGTGTGAGAGAGAGAAGGGAGAGAGTGGTGAGAGCGGCCATAATATCAGTCCCGAACTGCCGCTCACCATCTCTCTATCTCTTTACCTTTCTCATCCTATTCCTTCCTCCATTCACCAACACTCCAGACACAAGGTGTGGGGTGAGTGTGAGAATGAAAGAGAAGGAAGGACTAGATGACTCGAGAGACAGGTGATGGGTGAGAGAACCCTGATCACCTAACTGTCTCTCCCTAACTCTTTCCTTTACGTTCTATTCCTTTCTTATCTCTAGTCCAGCCCGGATCAAGGGAGAGGCTGGGGAGATATATCACACTGCTCAAGGCGGAGCCAGAAAGCCTTCCAACACCTCCCCCCTCGCTTTGGCGTGTCTTTCCCGCTGAACAGCAACTGTTTGGTTGAACCAGGAAAACACCTCCTGAAGCGAAAAGCCTCTCACGTGTCTGGCAAAAAGCGCCTCTTTTGGCCAAAACCGGCGACCCGTCTAGGGGCCCCACGTTGTGAAAGCGCTCCTCTGCGCACTTCCCCAGGATGGCGACCGCCCCCAGCCCCGTGAGCACGCCGAAGCCCACGGAGGTCAAGGTCATGTGCCCTGACGCGAAAAGGCCCGACTCTGAACATCACCTGTCAATTGTATATGCATCTATATATATATAATTAGAGTATACATATGCTTGTTATTGTCTAGATACATACATATATGTACATATACATGTATATATATATATGGATATATATTTGTTAGTATATGTGGCCGCAAAGATGGTTTGAAGAAACAGAATGACCCCGAAGGAAAGAGTCAAAAAGGAGAGTGACCTCTGTCCGGTCCAAGCCAGGGAGGTTGACTAGGCCAAGCCGCTACCACGTGAGGATCAATTCAAAGTCGACACTTCGGTGGGTCAACACCCTGTGACCCTGAACATCAAAATAGGTGGAATGGATGTTCATCCACCCTAAAATGGCTCGCCATAGCTTATGCACCCCATGGCCACATGAGCGTCTCCCCTCAACCTGCCACACGCACGGAGTTGCCCCGCCGAAGAAGGTGAGCACGGACTTGGCGTCCAGGCTGGCACCCAAGACCACCTGTGGCCGAAACCACCGGGCCCAAGGGCCCAAGCGGCCCAACCAGCTCAAGAAGACCAAGCCAAGTCAGAAAAGACCAAGGAAGAGTGCACCTTGTTGAGCTAGTGGCCATGCCTTTCGCTCAGCCCAAGATTGGGGGGCCAAATTCGCGGCTGATGCAATCTTGCGAGACTGATTGACTGAACATGAAGTTGGGTGGTTCCCTAAAGGGCAGTCAAACGTGCATGGTTTGAAGACATGAAGACCCCGGTTTGACCGAAACTGCACAGCCGCGCCTTCAGCATGAGCACGAAAACCACGATGGCGGTACCGTCGTTCATCAAGGACTCGCCTGAGACTAGCCTTAGACGAAGGTCAGAGATCACGCGAAGACGAAACAAACACAAGAAACTAAGCACACACGTGGCCCTTCGCATGAATCGCACGTCTGAAATGGCAGTCTGACTCCTGCGCTCGTACACGCGGCTAGAGTGCGCAACCTCGGCCATCCTGCAGGGAACTCTTGGTTGCCATAGGCTCCCTGCTTCAACGGCACCAAAAGGCAAAAGGAAATGATATTAGCTACTTCTGGTTCAACGCGATGGGCATGCCCATAGACCCGCCCAGCCGCGCTCGCCGTCGCTTCTTGGAACCATTCAACTCAATCTCCAGCTGTCTTTCCTTTTGCGCAAGTGTCGATGACGTTGACCATGTTGACCATGTTGACCAAACTGGCTCGAACCGGGCTCGGTCCATTTATGGATCTCCGGCTCGATATGGAAAATATTACACTAGCTCGCGAGCCAAGCCTCTCTGGCGCTCTGTGGCCGGCCGGCTCACGAAATGGGAGCTCAGTGGAATTGCGTCCGATGCAACTTTCTACATGTAGAAGCGACTTTCCTCCGAAAAGACCTTCATTGGCTCTAGGGAAGAGACCCTCCTATGCTTCGTCAGCACTGCCTTCATGCTCCGCAAGTCCTGGGCTTGATCAGCATGTTCATGCCAGCTCAGCCAAACCGGACCTACGGAAAGTCGGGAAATCTGACTACAATTGTTTGCGACTTTCCCGTTTGATGGATATGCCTGATGCGTCAATGTTCTCTGGCAAGTGTAAAGCGGTTGATCAAGTAACATTGACATCCATGACAAATGCCAAAGCAAACAGGATGGCACTCTTGGGATTTGTGAAGAACATGCAAGCAAGCAATGAAAAGGCTGAGCCGGTCTTGCGATTGAACAGTTCGCTGCAACTAATCGAAGCATTGATATTCCAGGGTCCACCAAGCCACTATGCAATAAGTTATAATTATAAGTTCCAAGCGTTGCTTGAAAGGCTCGTGCTGCAGGTGTTTGATCTCCTCTCGCATCACTGTGTTCTCATAGCTCATCCTGGCCATCTGCAGGCCTTTGGCCGGTCCTGAACAGAGAGCATTCCGCTCGAATTGGAATCCGGACATCTACGTGTATTGTTCACAAATGGATTTGCTCTGCATTGATCATTTCCCACACTCGATTTGGAACCACTGACAGATCTGAGGTCAGAAGCGAACAAATTGTACTTAAAGCGCCTTCAACCTCCAAGGAGCGCTTGGGGCGTTTCTTCGTCCTGGGGTGTTTCGAAGATGGATCGCGCCTTGCAGCTGCATGCACCCAAAAACGAACTCATCGAGAGATATCGCTCCGTCTCCATTGGCATCGATGACCCTGGGCCAAGCTCCATTGAGGTGGGCTTTGAAGGGAAGCCGGGTCCCTTAAAAATTGACATACCCCTTAAAAATTGTTCACAAATGGGTGATCGCTGTCCGATCTATCTACGCTGAAACGAAACTGACCAATTGGAGTCTAGGCTTCGCGTGCCCTGATTGGCCAATCGGTACTGCTCAAAGACCAAACCACTTCACAACTTTTCACCAGTTGCTTACCAAAACAAGGCACCTGGTTCAGATGACAAAATGACGAGGCTGCCTGCCTCAAGTGACATGAAAATCAAGAACATTTGGGAGCTGCGATGAGCCGAGAATCATGAAGAGGGTCCAAATGTCCTGGGTCGAGATGTCCATGGAGTGCATGAAGGAAGCCAATTTCTTGCTGGTGAGCGCTTCCTGAATGCACCACTTGCAAACGTGGAAGGTATGTGAACATCGCCCTGATTGCTGACGTGGAACTCGGAAATTTTGACCTTGTATACCAGTTTGGTTTTGCGGATCCCAAAGTCTCCACATACTGTGCCCGGATCAATTTCTCTGAAGGAGACCTTGGCGAGCTGCCTTCAGCTGCTTGAGGCTCACCACGTTATGACCTTCCCCGTCGATCTCAAGGAAAATCTCCCGCAAGGATTGGACTTGCGCCTCGTGTTTGTGCATCTGCTTCATGATGGCGATGTCCTTCCGGGGAAAATGAACGTGTCAATGCAAGGATTTCGCTGCCTGGGCGGAAAGCAGCCAGTGGGTCACGTCCGTGCATACATGTTGTCCTACCTCTATCAAACTTGCGGCGCCCCTGGTTGGAAAATCATGTTGCCCGTCAAACAGGGTGATGTGTCACTGTTTTCGTGCGCCGGCTCTCTCCAACACCCGCGCGCAGAATCTGCATCTTCAACCATCTCCTTGTCCGCCCGCGCGCTTTCGATCGCGGTGTTGCCTCAAGCATGCGAAACTATGGGCTTGTTTTCTGCGTCGTTTTGCAGGCAAGTGTCAGAAGACACCTGTGACCACGTTGAGCACGGCAAAAATTGTGATCGTGATGTATACCTTGGAACATTTTGAACCTGTTGTCAAACGGCAAACCAGGTCCAGCGCTGTTTGAACATGCGTCGTCTGATGTTTCTGTAGCTACTGGGCCAAGATGCCAGCCGTTTTCAAAACCACAAACGGCGAATAGCAAACAGGTCGACGACTTGAAGTTGGCAAGCAGCAGGACAAACTCAAACGCATGTACTTGTTTGATCAACATACGAATCGCGGAAAGGGTGCCTGGCCAGGGCCCGGCGCCAGCAGCTCTGCAAACCCTTGGCAATCGTCCAGTTTGCTCCGAGACCTTGACGGTGAGTGCTGACTGGGTCACGAAAACGCCAGGAGCTGGGCTGTCGAACTGAAACACCCCAGAGTCACGCAGACACACTGACCAGGCGAGGGTGGGAATCTGATCAAGAGCACTGCGACCAGAATCAAACACACAGCCTTGCCAATCCAAGACGCGCTCGCCATCTCAAACCCTTTGGCAATCGTCCGTTTTTGCCCCAATACCTTGTTAGTGCTGAGCAGGCCATGAAGGCGCCAGACTGGCATTGGCGAGCGCAGCACTCAAACAGAACAGGCGCGTAGCCTCCTCTTGACGAGTCGCACACACCCCAACACTCTTAGGCTGGCGCGTCGACACCTTGTTCTTTCTCTGGCACTTTCGGCTCAACCCACAAGAGTGATTTTAGCACAACTAAGACCCGGCCTCCAACGAGCCACAGCGGCGAACCTTGCTCCTGTTGAGCACAACTCACGTCGCCTTGCGTCGTAACCCATTCGCACGCAGCCAGCTCCAGCTCCCTGCAACTCGCTGCAGGCTTGCTAGACAACGCAGTCGGAACTAAATGACTTGCGAGGACCTTAACAGCCTGGCCCCTGAACCGCACGAATCATTTCCACTTGTAGAACCCAGGCTTCATGCGAAGGATCTGTCCTTAACTGGACTTCTTCGCATGCCCGCGCGCAGCCTTCTACTTTGACAAACACAATATCTTTTCCGTTTGGCGCGCTCGGCTTTCCCGGCGCAGTGTCTGCTTCGAAGGTGCTGGGCCATCGGTCTGCCAGCTGGTTTGCAAACGGCCCATGGCCCGTGCGCGCGCGCCAAGCTGGACTGCCTGAAAGGCGTGGCGCGCTAAGATGCTCCAAGGCCGCCGAGAAACAGGAAGGAAGCGATGGCCCAAATAATGAATGCGCCCAATAGCTGCAACGCCAAAGAAACGCTCGTGTATATAGCTTAAGCCTGCGCTCGAGGGACACATGGACCCCAAAACGGCACAAACCGGCAGCCAAGAATGATCCTGGATGGACACGAGCGAGCAAATCCACGCTTCGGACCACGGAGAAGAAAAAAAACGAGGAGCACTTTTCGGGGCCCCTGAATACATCAGGCTACGCAGTGTCTTGGTGACCGTGGTTGCCGCGACGCTGTCCGCCGGAGGTTTGATTCTTGTGAGGTGACTTGGTCTGTCTTGACTGCTCCGGCGATTTGGTCTGAATGTTTTTGAGAGAAGCTCGCCCTGTCTTTGCCGGAGATCAGCCGGTAAAGGGGCTTCTAGGTCTGACTCATGAGTGTGGGACGCCGGCACGCTGCGCAACAAAGTCTGCGCCAGCTGCAAGTGGTTCGGATGTTGCCACCGAAGCTGCACAACTGCTCAGGCCATTCTTTCAGCCCGTCCTCATACTCTGCAAGAGACAAGCCAGCAAAATCCTTGACTTCCACCTCTGCCCGGAACCCCAAACGCAACAAGCGCCTGCGCAAGCTGCGGCACAATCACAACCTGGGCGGCCTCAGAGAAATGGCAGCGCGGCCTATAAAAACCTCACGCGTTACGAGCCACATGAGCTCTCCGTTCACATCTTGCCAAACAGGTGGCCAAGGCTGCGAACACATATCTGCCTGGCTGCACCCTTGGGCGCCTGCATCTTTTCTTGAAACCACAGCAGCGCACGCAGGCCGTCGCAAGAGCAGCTTGCCAGCCCAGTCTGGGGGCTGCTGAGCGGCTACAGTCAAAGTGTCCCGACAGGCAACTGAAATTAATGGCGTCTCAGGACGCACACGACGTTCACTTCCGTTGAAGTGCTTCCTCCGAACAAAGCACTTCGAAGAGCCAAGAAACAAGCGATGGATTTGAGGTCTGCGCGCTTAGGGGATTAAGCTTGCGGAGAAACGTTGCTCCGACTAGTCAAAAGGGTCATGTATCAGCGATATATGAATTATACTGGAGCCAAGGCTACATTTTCCAAGAGATGCCCAGAAACTAGGCTTTCTGGCTGCGGCCCTTGTCTCCTAGTAACCTGGCCTCCTAAGTTGACAGCGTGAGAATGAGTGCCGTCCTTGCAAACTCCCCTGAGTTGAGTCAAAACCCCGTGGCAAAGCTTTGCATCTGCCCAACGCCAGTGCAGGAATCAGCTCGGGAGTGGCTTCTGCTTACTGGGAATGTCGCCGTGCCAGGGTGCCACGAGGCTCACCACCGCCAAGGGGTTGATGCTCCTCAGGGGCTGCAAGGCATCCACCCAGCTGAGGCCGCCGGAGATGGCCAGAAACAGCGTCAACATACCTTCGCCACGCGCGCGCGTGGGGTTCTGGGGGGAAAAATCGGCATGGCGCCCATGTCGCCCAGCTTG